GCGGCCACTTCCTCTCACCCGGTGGGACGGGACGTCAGCCGTGAAGGGGCCTGGCCCAGCCTCCACCCTCGGGAGCCTCCACCCTCGGGGCCTGAACAGCCGGCGAGTCTGTCTCCAGGCGCCGTGAGCGCTCTGCCAGCCGGAAGCCTCCCCGAGCGGGACCTGCCAAGCTCAGGCTGTGTCACGCCTGGGCCCGGCCCGCCCAGGGCCGTGGAAAGCCAGGCCAGGCGACCCCGATATGCCCGCCCGAACACACACGAGTGCCCGTCCCCGGGGCCGGCAGCCTCACCCCTGCTCTCTCTGCCCCACCTCTGCCCGGCATTGCGGGGGAGGACGGGGCGAGGCTCACGGGACGGGGGCACGGGAGTGTGGGGTGCCGTGTGCACAGACGTGTGAGACGGTGTATGTGCCAGGGCGAGGGAGTGTGCAGGCATGAATGAGTGTGTGAGGGTGTTGAATTGGGAGGGGTCGTGCGCACGTGTGAGGGTGTTGTGTGTGTGTGTGTGTGTGTGTGTGTGAGGCTGTCGTGTGTGGGGAAGAGGGTGTCAGGTGTGCACATGAAGGTGATGTATAGATGCGGGAGGGTGTTGTGTGTGAGAGTTCGTGTGTGTGTGTGTGTGTGTGTGTGGCATGATTGGGTAAAGATCTGGGGTGCGAGAGCGTTGTCTGAGTGCCTGAATCTGTGTGGGTATTGTGTGTTTTGTGAGGACGTGAATGTGTGCGGATGTTGGGTGCGTGTCGGTGGAGGTGTGGATGTGAGGGTGTTGCTGGCGGGTGTCGGTCTGGGAGCGTGTGTGAATGTGGGGGTGTGGCGTGTGTGTGTGTGAGGGTGTCGCGCATGGATGAGGGTGTAGTGTCTGAGTGTGTGACTGTGTGGGATGTGGGGGTTGTGAGGGGCCTGTATGTGGGAGAGGGAGTCGTGGCTGCGTGTGTGTGAGTTGTGGGGTGTGGGGGTCGTGAGGGTGTCTGTGGTGTGCTCCGTGAGGGCATCGAGCATGTACGAGGGCGTGGTGTCAGTGTGTGTGAGTGGGGTGTGGCGTTGTGTGGGTGTGCGCGTGGATGAGAGTGTCGTGAATATGTGACAGTGTGAGGTGTGTGAGATGTTGTGTGGCCGAGGGTGGAGTATATGTGAATGTGTGAATGTGTGGTGTGAGGCGCGCATGTGTGTGTGTGTGTGTGTGTGTGTGTGTGTGTGTGTGTGTGTGATGTGAGGCAGGCCTGGTGGTTGCTTGCCTCTTGGCTGACCCTGCTGGGCCGGGGCTGCTTCTCCCTGAAGGTGGAGCCCTCGGGCGAGTGGCTGGGGGAGGCCCGAGTGTCCCAGACCCGGCCCGTGTCCAGTGCCCGGGCCGCACCCTGACCCCCGGGAGGAGGGCGCCGGCATTTCCTCGGCTCCGTTGTCTCCGTGTGCTGCTTGGTCAGAGGGGATGGGGCGGGGGGTCCTCGCTGCCTCCCCCAGACCTGGGCTCCCCTGGGCCCCACAGTGCGAACAGTGTGAGCCTCGCCACACCCGAAGGCGCCTGGTGCCTCCACTGGAGTTTCGGTGCTGGGCTCAAAAGAGCTTAGAGTGTGGACAAAAAGAAGATTCTAGGCCATCGCCCCGAAGTCCTGTGTAGGTCAGCCTAGGGGGTCAGCGAGAGACAGTTCTGGTGAATAGTCAGGAGAGGCCAAGGTCCTCTCCCGGGGGTCCACCACTGCCCGGCAGAGCCTCCGCTACACCTGCCTGTCATGGTCGCCCCAAAGCCAGGGCTGAGACCCAGCGGGCGCTGTGATCTGAACCCTAAGTGAGCACTGTGATATGAGTCCTATGCGAGTACTTTGAGCTGAGTCCGGGGCGGGCACTGTAGGCTGAGCCAGAGTGGGAGCATGACACTCATTCTTCTCTCTCTCCAGTCGCTGCCGTCTGGACACATGCAGGGAACGTTCGACGTCGCCAATAAAGAAGAGAACCGAGAGAAAAACCGATACCCCAACATCCTTCCCAGTAAGTGGGCGGCCCGTCTGCGCCCTGATGCGGTTTATCGTTGCGGTTTAAGGAGTGACCATTCGGGGCCCGAGGGACGGCCGGTGCTGGCCTCCATGGACCCGACCCAAGCCGGCCCCCAGCTCCGTCAGGAGGGACCCTGAGCACAGAGCCGGGAGTCGGCCCTGAGAACCGCCAGTGTGGTCCCAACCCAAAGGAAAAGAGAGGTTGCCCCGGGGTCAGGAGCTGACCCCGTGGGCAGGGGGTGACCTCAGCTTGGCCCCCAGTACCACACAGGGTCCCTGCCCCCCGCTGGGCCAGAGCACAGAGAGGCAGAAACCTGTGTCCGGCTTTAGAGTGATCAAGTGACCACGCCCCCCTCCCTGATGCCCATCTCTGCCATGCCTGGCTGGGTGGGCTGGACGGAGGAGCAGGTGGGCGGCCCCTGTCCGGGCCCCCTCCAGGTGTGCCGAGCACTGTGGGCGGGAGAGGCCTGTCCCCAGATGGAACAGCAGCAAGACACAGGCCCTGCCACCCTCCAGGGCCCCAGGAGCGCGAGAGCCAAGCTGCCCGATGGGCCGTGGGCCTGTCACTGGCCGCGTGTGAGGCCTGTCAGAGCACGTGGTCAGCGCTGCCCACTCCTGTTGTGTGTCCAGCGCGAGAGGGGCCCGGGACCCTGATCCACACCAGCCCCCCGCCCCACACACACTGCCCTGGCCACGTGGGCGTCACCCAGCAGAGGTCAGCGCTGCCCCGGGCCGAGCCCTGGAGGTGACCAGTGGCACCAGCAGCCCAGAGACGCCTGCGAGCCGAGGCGGGCAGCCCCGCCAGCCTCTCCTGGAGACACACCAGCGCCGAGGACTTTAGGAATCGCGTTTTGCAAGCCAAGTGTGACTCCTTAGAATCAGAAGCAGGAAGTTCTTGGAAATGACGAGATTCCAAATCCAGCCCCAGGGTATTTTTAACCTCCCTCGCCTCAGTCGCCCTCGGAGCGTGAGTCGGGCGGAGCTAGGGACGTGCTCCCCATTTCCGCCCTGCCATGGCCCCCGCGGGCGGAGCTCGGCCACCCCCTGCCCCGTGACGGCAGGCTGGGGGGCACCTGACCCACGTGGCGGACACGTCCAGAGCTGGGCGTCTGAGCGTCCCAGACGTGACCCCGGTCCCCGGGCACTGGTGGCACCGTCAGCCACCGTGGACACGTCCCCGGGGGCGAGTCCCACTCCTGGGGTTCTGCGTGTGTGTCCGGAGGGGCGGCTCCAGGCCTGACGCTCCCTGTGAAGACTCAGCCCGGACCCCCAGCACACGCGCCACCGTCAGAGGCTCCCACGGAAATGTTGGTGTCACGGCACCCGGGAGAGCAGAGCCACGAGGCCCCCAGGGCTGAGCAGAAACCCCTCACGCACGCACACACACACACACGTGCACACGTGGGTCCCCTCCGCCCACCCAGACTCAGACATGGAGACACTCACCCCATAGACACCGCAGTACGCGCACGCACACACACACACACACACACACACACACACACATCCACTACTGTGCCAACACACACACCTTCCACGTGCCACTCAAAGACTAAGCGTGTGTGCATTCACCCCACAGTCCCACCAGTGCCCATTCTCTACATACACACACACACACACAAACACACACACCATCCAATCATATGCATTCCACTAACACACAGCACCCACATCCGCTACATACATGGACACACAGCACCCATGTTCCCTGCGTGTGTGCACAAACACACACACACACACACATACACACACATATACACACACACGTGCTCAGAGCCCCAGGACACCCCCACCCCCACCCGGGGCTGCTTCTCCCCCTGGCCTGGCCTCGGCTCACTGTCCAGTCCTGAGCACCTGCAGGAGAAACGGGGTCTGCCCCCCCGCCCCGTGCCCTCATGTCCCCCCATCCAGGGTTCCGAGGGCTTCTCCTGGGCACTTGGGTGCTCATTGTCCGTGTCCCGGGCTTCCCCTGCGGTCACCTCCACGTCAGGAGGGCCTGAGCTGGACCCCAGAGGGGGTGGCCCCCGGGGGCCCAGAGCGTGGGCTGCTCTGCCCCAGACCCGGAGTCTGTCCTCTGTCCTGTTCCCAAGGCCTGAGGGGCCCGTGGGTGCGTGGGGACAGCCGGGTCTCGCTCCTTCCCACGGTTCGGGCGCCGCCCCCTGACTGCCCGCTTCCCCCACAGATGATCTCTCCAGGGTGGTCCTGAGCCCCGTGGACGGGGTCCCTGGCTCCGACTACATCAACGCCTCCTACATCGACGTGAGTCCCTGTCCTGGCCGTGGTGCTCCCGGGGGTCCCTCCTCTCTCGCCCTGACACCCACCCCTGTCTGCGTCGTCCCTGCACTGCGGGGAGGGGGCCGCAGACAGTGCGACCCCTGCCGTCTGGAACGTACAAGGCAGTTCCAGGGCGCGCGTGGGAGCTGCCCAGCCTGCAGCGCAAAGCCCCTGCTGTCACGGGACACTCGCTCTGTCTGGTTCTCCTCTTGCCGCTGCCCGCCCTCCCCTGCCGCTGGGCCCCTGCCCTGCCGGGTCCTTCTGAGACATTGAGCGTTGGACTTTGCTTTCCCAGGGTTATAAAGAGAAGAATAAATTCATCGCCGCTCAAGGTAAGCTCCTGGCGGGCGGCTCCCGGGGGGCTTTGGCGGGGGTGGCGGGTGCCACGTCTGACCCCCACGGCCAGGGGCGCCCAGGACTGGCCTGGAGACTGGCAGCTTCAAGGGTGCAGACATGAGGAAGCCCAGTGCGTGTGGGGGGGACGCAGAGCACAGCCCCTGGAGCGCGGAGGGGGGCAGGGACATGTGGGGGTGTGACACACGGGGTCCAGCCCGCCTGTGCGGGGTAGACGGGCCATCTCGCCAGTGAGACGGTCCCAGGAGGGTCCCTGCAGCTGAGAAGGCGTAGGCCGGCCTGGAAACACCTCGTCCCCCCAAGCACCCAGCCCTGACCCCCGAGTCCCCCAGGCTCAGGGCTGAGGTCTGTGGCACTCACACGGGCACCAGAACCTGACACACAGCCAGGCCGGGTCCCACCGGCCTCCCGTACGGTCCCCCAGGACACGGCAAGAGCCAGCCCCCCAGCATCACAGAGCAAGCAGCACCCAGGGCCGGGAGCGTGGGCGTCCATCTGGGCGCTGGCGGGGCCGGGGCGGCTTCTCTGGGAAGTGGAGACAGAGCCGGCCTGGGTGGGGCCAGCACCACGGGGCTGTCGCTTCCCCTGGGAGGGACAGGGGTGTCCCTGTCCCGAGGCGGCCACGGCACCTGCAGGCCAGGGCTCCAAGGGCTGGGCAGAGCGCGGGACTCTCCTCTCAGGGGACGCGTCCCCTTTGTGGCCCCCGCCAGGGACCTGCATCCCCACCACACACATCCTGAGAGGCGGCTGGAGCGGAGGGAGGAGGCGAAAGAAGGAGCTGGGGGGGGGGGTGGGACTCCGCTGATACACATGTGACACACATGCGTGTATGCGCACATGGACACATGTGCTGCACACGTGTGTGTACACATAAACACATGCATGTGCACAAAGACACATGTGTGTGCACTCAGATACTTGGGCCATGCACGCCTGCTGGTATGTACACACAGACACGTGTGCTCCACATGCGCGTGGACACGTGCTGCACACACATGTATGTGCACACAGATACAGGTCCTGAACATGCATGTGGTGCACACAGAGACGCATGTGCTGCACACGCATGTCCACGCACACACCTGCAGGTCCATGCGGGCACACCGTGCACATGCTCACTCTCTGGGTCACACTCAGCCCGACCTGACGGATTCTGCAACACCCCCGGGGACTCTCAGCCCCGGGCGATGCCTCGGGGCCTGGCTCCTCCCAGCTGGGGTCCTGGGGCTCTGTTGGGACCCCCCCAGACCACCCACCGCTGTCCTTGGGGCTGGTGGGGGGGGGGCCGCCACGGACGGGTCAGCGGCATGAGCCACAGGGACGCAGGGTGGGCGACGGGGCCAGCCGGGGGTGGCAGCGGGACCCAGACAGCTGCCCTTGGGGGGCCGGCCTGTCTCCGCGCAGGCCCCAAGCAGGACACGGTGGGCGAGTTCTGGAGGATGGTCTGGGAGCAGAAGTCGGCCACCATCGTGATGCTGACGAGCCTCAAGGAGCGGAAAGAGGTGAGCCCGCCCTCCGCCCACACCCCAGCCCCCGCCCACCCGCCTCGCGCTTCCTCTTCCTCGCCTCTGCCTGGGCTCGCACCTCTGCTGCGGTGGGCCCTGCACCGCGCCGGCTTCCGGCCCGGCTTCGAGGGCCCCCGGGGGGGGGGGGGGCAGGCGGCGGCCGTCTGGCCCTCCTGGGGCTGTGGGCTCGGGGGTCCAGGCCTGAGTCTCAGGGCCACACTCCAAGGTGCCCTGGCTCCCGGTGCCCGCCTGGTCGGGGAGGCCTGAGCCCCCAGAGCAGGGTGGCAGGTGTGTGCCGACCCCTTCCTGCCCGGCCCCTCCCCAGGGCCCAGAGAGCAAACCTGCAGGTGTCAGGGGCCACGTCCCGGTGACGGAGGGGAGGGTCGAGACCGGGGACAGGCGGGGCTGGGGGACCCCATCCACGCACCATCAGAGCCACCCATGGGGAAGGCCTGAGGCAGGAAGGAGCCGGGGCTCAGGGCCCCTGGGGGCGTGTGATGGCCGCGCTCTCTGGCAGACCACCAGGGACCCCCAGCTCACCCGGGGCGCAGCTGGGGCTCGGCCCAACGTCCAGCTGAGGGGGTCCAGGCCAGGGCTTCCAGGCAGGTGCCCCTTTGGGGACGGGCGAGGGACCTGCTCCAGCATGTTCCAGCATGTTCCCCCATGTTCCGGCACCAGCAAGGCCAAAGCGGTTGCGGAGGGGTTGTGGGGCGTCCTCGCCTGGCCTGGGGGCCTCTGTCCCCTTGGTCAAGGAAGGGGCCGTCCTGAGTCACCCTGCCTGCAGGGCCCCCTGGGGTCCCAGTCCCCAGCCCGTCTCGGGCGCAGGAAGGTGCTGACCACGGTTTCCGCCTGCTCTGGGGGTGCGGGCGGGGACTCGGCGGGGCGGCCGCCAGGAGCCGGCAGGCAGTGCGGGGAGCAGCCGCGGCCTGTTTCCACCCAGAAGCTCTGCCCGTTTCCATGCAGTGACTCAGGCCCGCCTGCGCCTCCTCCCGGGGCGAACAGTTTCTCAAGCCAGTTCCCTTTCCCGTTGCCTCGCTTCCCGCTGAGGCCCGCGATGCAGCTGCTCACACCCACCCTGGGGTGCTCAGCACAGCCCTGGGCCGAGGCCAGCCCAGCTGGGGCATCGTGGGGCTGTTCCGGGCCCCGGAGACCGCAGAGGGTGGGGCTGCCCCTGTCTCCTGGCTGCCGCCTGCGGGCGTGGCTGTGGGCCTCGGGGCAGAGGACCCCCGGTCTGCACCCCTCCTGGGCTCAGAGGGAGGGAGGGAGGGAGGGGTGAGCGGGACCTGCCTGGGAGGGCTGGGGTGTCACCGTCTCCCAGCTCTGGGCTGCAGCGGGCGCCAAGACGTGGCCGGGCCATCGCGGCCGCACTCTCGGGCCGTGGCCTGGAGGAGCAGCGCGTCCTCGTCCTGGGGCCCGGCCCCGCCCTGCTGACTCGCCCTCCCCTGGCCCACGCAGGAGAAGTGCTTCCAGTACTGGCCCGACCAGGGCTGCTGGACCTACGGCCACATCCGGGTGTGCGTGGAGGACTGCGTGACACTGGTGGACTACACGGTCCGCAAGTTCTGCATCCAGTCGGTAAGCACGGCCGGCTCTGCGCCACGCGCCACGGGGCCACGCGTGAGTCACGCATACGTGATATGCCCATGGTCCACGCGTGAGCCACGCCTTCATGCACTTACCCACGTGCCACGGCCACGGCCCACATGTGAGCCACACACACGTGATGTATCCATGTTCCACGCATGAGCCACATACACACCCACAAGACACACCCACGTGCCACGTCCACGGCCCACATCATAGAGTCGGTCACGTGCACGCGCCCAGTTGCGCTCACACACACGTGTACAGGAGCACGCTCCGAGCAGCACACGGCACACGTGTACATCTCTGCACATGCACCGCCCGTGTGCTGTGTGGACGTGCAGCACATGTGCGCTTTGCGTGTTTACACGGGTCCTGCTTGTGTGTGCGCAGCTGTGCGTGCAGACGCCGGCACATACCTCCACAGACGGCCCCTGTGAGGCCTTGGTCTGGGCCGAGACCCCCGCGCTGGTTCCAGGGCCTGAGAGAAGGCGGGTGGGGGCGGGGACGTGTTGGGGGTGGTGAGGAGGCCCCACCGCACCCTCCTGTCTCCCCCAGGAAGGCCCTTCCCAGGGGAAAGGTGCCCGGGGGAAGGCAAGCAGGGGTGAGACGACGGGCGGGGGTGAGACAGGCAGGGGTGAGGCAGCGCAGGTGTCAGGCCCAGACCACATGCGGGCAGGGATGAGGCAGGCAGGGGTGTGCGGACAGGGGTGGGACGGGCAGAGGTGTACGAGCAGGGGTGAGGTAAGCAGAGGTATACGGGCAGGGGTGAGATAGGAAGAGGTATACAGGCAGGGGTGAGGCAGGCCGGGGTGTGCGGGCAGGGGTGAGGCAGGCAGGGGTATGTGGGTAGGGGTGAGGTAGGCAGAGGTATACGAGCAGGGGTGAGGTGAGGTGGCAGGAGTGTGCGGGTAGGGGTGGAGACAGGCAGAGAGGTTTGTGGGTAGGGGTGCGGGCAGGGGTGGAGACAGGCAGGGGCGTGCGGGCAGGGGTGAGATAGGAAGAGGTATACAGGCAGGGGTGAGGCAGGCCGGGGTGTGCGGGCAGGGGTGAGGCAGGCAGGGGTATGTGGGTAGGGGTGAGGTAGGCAGAGGTATACGAGCAGGGGTGAGGTGAGGTGGCAGGAGTGTGCGGGTAGGGGTGGAGACAGGCAGAGAGGTTTGTGGGTAGGGGTGCGGGCAGGGGTGGAGACAGGCAGGGGCGTGCGGGCAGGGGTGAGATAGGAAGAGGTATACAGGCAGGGGTGTGCGGGCAGGGGTGAGGCGGGCAGGGGCATGCAGGCAGGGGTGGAGACAGGCAGGGGTGTGTGGGCAGGGGTGAGACGGGTGGGGGTATACAGGTAGGGGTGAGATAGGAAGAGGTATACAGGCAGGGGTGAGGCAGGCAGGGGTTTGCGGGCAGGGGTGAGGCAGGCAGAAGTATATGGACAGGGGCGAGGTGAGCAGAGGTGGACGGGCAGGGGTGAGATAGGAAGATGTGTACAGGCAGGGGTGAGGCAGGCAGAGGTGTGTGGGCGAGGGTGTGCAGACAGGGGCCTGTGGGTAGGGCTCTGCGGCAGGGGTGCGCCCCCCCCCGTCTCGGGGCGTCGCGGGTGCCCTGGCCGGGCCGGGTCCGGAGCTGCAGCCCGCCCTCCGCGCCCCTGTCCCCGCAGCAGCTCCCCGGCAGCTGCAAGGCGCCCCGCCTGGTGTCCCAGCTGCACTTCACCAGCTGGCCCGACTTCGGGGTGCCCTTCACGCCCATCGGGATGCTCAAGTTCCTGAAGAAGGTGAAGGCGCTCAACCCCGCCCACGCCGGGCCCATCGTGGTGCACTGCAGGTACGTGCCGTGGGGGAGCCCCCTCGGGCCGGCCCGCCCCCGCCCCTACCCACTCACCCCGACTCGACTCGGAGCAGAGTTCTCGTCGGTCGGAGGCTGGGCCCAGTGTCCCAGGGGGACGCTGTCTCGGGTCTGGGGCGCCTGCGACCCCCGTCAGAGGGAGCCCGCGTTTCCGCAGGAGAGTCTGGGCTCAGGAGCGGGTGCTCAGACACCACCTGCTCCTCACCCGGGCCCTTCCTCGGCGTCTCTCTGCGGGGTGGGCCTGGAGTCGGGTGCGGGACCCCAGGGGTCGGGTGCCCTGGCAGCTTACAGGCGCTGAAACTCTACTCTGGCTTCTAGCGCAGGTGTGGGGGCCCTCTGCGGGGGGTGCAGGGTCCTCTGGGAGGGGTGCAGGGCCCTCTGGGAGGGGTGCAGGGCCCTCTGCGGGGAGTGCAGGGTCCTCTGGGAGGGGTGCAGGGCCCTCTGGGGAGGGCACTGTGGCTCCCAGGGGACCCGCCGCACAGCCGGCAGCTGGGCCGGCTTCTCCGAGGTCTGACCTCCGCCTGCGGCCTCGGTGTCCGGCCAGCCCTTCCTTGGGGTGGTCAGCTGTGGCCCCGGTGGCCGGGAGCAGGGCTGGGCTCAGAGCAGAGGCCTCTGGGGTCTCTCCGCGGGGACAAGGCTCCGGGGTGCGACCGAGCAGGACACTGCATGGTGGGCGGCACCAGGCCGGCCCCATCTGGCCCAGCAGTGGGTCTTGCTCTGTGGCGTTGGGGCCCCCCAGGGCCGTGCTCTGGGCGGGCGCCCCTCACAGCCATGCTCACCCCTCAGTGCCGCCCTGTGGCCCCCAGCCCTGCCGCTCCTCGGCTCCTTCCCAGCCTGGCCCCGGAGCAAGCCGGCGGCTCGGGGCTCGTGACGTTTGTCCCCGTGACCGTGGGCTGGCCCTGTCCCTCACAGCCGGGGATGCGGTGACTAATCCCAGAGCCGTGGGGTCAAAGGTCCGTGAAACCGGCAAGCAGAGGGGGCTGCGTGCCGTGTCCTTGGGGTCCCGAGTGGGCTGTCCTTGGCGAGCCTGTGCCCTGGACGGCCCCGCTGCCCCTCACCCCTCCGCGGCACCCACCCTACGTCCCGGGGCTTTGCCTGCTCCCTCTCACTGCAGCCCTCCTCCTCCTTGTGGGGGTCAGAGCAGGGGCTGACCGTTGCTTGGCCTCTGGGACTGGCCGTGGAGGGCCGTGGGCGCTGCCTGGGGACACCGGGTCCGGGACGGGGTGGCACCAGAGTTAGGGGGAGAGGAGCCGCCCCTCAGGAAGTCCGGGTGGATCTCCTGGGCTGGTGACCCGTTTCCATCGCTCCTGGATGTCCCTGGCAGCCCCTGGGAGGCCATCGGGGGACTCGGGCCCGTCCCCGTGCCCACCCGGTCCTGCGGGAGCCTGGGCCAGCCCCGCCCCGCCCCTCCCACCCGCCGCCTCCTCTGGGAAAGTCTCTGGGTCTCCTTCCCGCCCCAGCCAGCGCTGTGGGGTGGGTGGGGGGTTCTGGTGCTGGTTCTGCAGCATCTCAGGGTGTCCGGGGGGCAGGGCTGAGGCACTGCGCCCCTCAGGGCGTCCCCTCCCCGAAGGAGAGAAACCGGAGCCGTCACTGGCCAGGGTGCTGCCCGGGACAGGGGTTCAGCTTGACCATGCCCAGGAACCCAAGTTGGGGGTGGTTCAACCCCAAGTTCCCGTGTGCCAAGCCGGGCTGCAGCCCCCGGGCTAACGAGGTGGACTGCAGAGATCCTCGGACCCAGGCCTGACCCCCTGCCTGTGCCCAGATCGGGGGCAGCCCAGCCCCTGCCCCTAGCCTGGGCATTGGGGGCCGTGTGGGGGTCCCCAGCCCCAGGCAGCATGGGGAGCCCCGGGGCTCCAAGGGCTCAGTCCTAACCGAGACAGCTCCCTCGCAGGCCGAACCCGGGCCAGGGGGGAGGGGGGCAGCTGGCACCTGCTTCCAGGAGCCCCATCCCAGGGCCCAAGCGGGCAGCGGGGTCTCGGGGCTGCCCAGCTGGGCCGTAGCGACTCTCCCTGGGTCCTGAGGCTCTTGACTGGGACGGCGGCGCCCTCTGGTGGCGGCGCCCTGGAACTACTGCCGTGGGCGGGGACACCCTGAGGTGCCCGGCCCAGGGAGAGGCTGACCGGGCCCCCCCTGCCCCCAGCGCGGGCGTGGGCCGGACGGGCACCTTCATCGTCATCGACGCCATGATGGACATGATGCTCGCCGAGCAGAAAGTGGACGTCTTCGAGTTCGTGTCGAGGATCCGTAACCAGCGCCCGCAGATGGTGCAGACGGACGTGAGTGCCCGGCGGGGCGGGCGCGGGGTGGACGGCGGGTGGACGCGGGTGGACACGGGAGTCGGGGTGGACGGCTGGAGGGAGGGCGCAGGGTGGACAGCGGGTGGACGTAGGTGGCAGGCTGGGGGGTGGATGGCTGGTGGACGCGGGTGGACACGGGAGTCGGGGTGGACATCAGAAGGGCGGGTGTGGGGTGGACGGCAGGTGGACGTGGGCAGCAAGTTGGACAGCAGGTGGACACGGGAGTCGGGTGGACGGCGGGAGGGCGGGCGCGGGGTGGACAGCGGGTGGACGTAGGTGGCAGGGCTGGGGGGTGGACAGCAGGTGGACGTAGGCCACGGGGCTGTGGGGGTGGACGGCGGGTGGACCGTGGGCAGGGGCGTGAAGGCGTGCCGCTCTCTGTCCCGCAGATGCAGTACACATTCATCTACCAGGCCCTGCTGGAGTTCTACCTGTACGGGGACACGGAGATGGACGTGTCCTCCCTGGAGAAGCACCTGCAGGCGCTGCACAGCCCCGCCCCGCCCCGGGACAGGCTGGGGCTGGAGGAGGAGTTCCGGGTGAGCGCACGCCCCGGGGGGGGTGGGCACTGCCGGCCGGACACGCTTCCACGGGGTTGGGGCGGGCACTGCCGGACGCGCCCCGGGTCAGCCCACGCCTCCGCCCTGCCCTGCAGAAACTGACCAACGTGCGGATCATGAAGGAGAACATGCGCACGGGCAACCTGCCGGCCAACATGAAGAAGGCCAGGGTGATCCAGATCATCCCCTGTGAGGAACGCGGCCGCGAGGAGGGCGCCCCCCCCACGCCACGCCACGCCACGCCGGGCCCCCCACCGCCGTGGCAACTGGGCCCCTCGCTCACGCTCACGCCCATGAACACTCACTCCTGGCGCTCAGGCTGGGCCTTGCGTTCACACCTGCTCACGGCCACGCACACGCCCACCCCCTCACAGCCACACCCAGTCACACCCACGCACACTGGTACGAACACACACCCGATCTCACAGCCACCCGTACCCAGGCAAACTGGTGCCCGCTCACACCGGCTCACACTCACACCCACCCACTCACCCCACGCCCACTCACGCTCACCCGCTCATGCCTGCTCACGCTCACACCCGATCACTCACACCCGCTCACACGCCCACTCACACCGGCTCACGCTCACACCCCCCACACAGACCCACTCACACTCACACTCACGCTCACACCCACTCACACCCAGTCACTCACCCCACACCCTCTCACACTCACACTTGCTCACACCTGCACACACTCACCCACTCAGGCCTGCTCACATTTATTCCCACTCACACCCGCTCACACCGGCTCACACCGACACCCCCTCACACACACTCATGCCCACTCACACTCATACCCAGTCACTCACACCCGCTCACACACCTGCTCACAACTTGTGCCCACTCACACCCACCCCAGATCCCACACCGACGTGGGGTCAGCCTGTACTAGGGGGCCTCCACGTCCAGCCAGACCCATCCTTCCCCCATGCAGTAAATAGGGGCACTGGCTGGCCTAAGGGACCCCTCAGGACGCAGGCAGGTTCTGTTGGCAGGAGGCAGCCCCCTCGCCCTGCCCGCCACGGGGGTCCCCGGAGGGGTGCTACTCAGCCATTCTCCTCAGAGCGGGGGGCGTGGGGGCGGGAGGCCAGGCCGGGCGTGGCGCTCACGGGCCCGCTTGCCTCACAGACGACTTCAACCGCGTCATCCTGTCCATGAAGCGGGGCCAGGAGTGCACAGACTACATCAACGCCTCCTTCATCGACGTGAGTGGGTGGGTGGGCCCCGCCCGCACCCGGCACCCAGCACCCGGGGACTCGCCGCCACCTCAGCACAGCTTCCGGCCTGCCACGGCCGTTCCCGGCCCAGCGGGGGGGGGGGGGGAGCGCGGGTGGCCGGTGCTCTGGTGACCCGCTTCCTCCCTGCAGTCACTGCGGCCTCAGAGCGTCCTGGGACCCCCACAACCCGAGTCCCGAGTCCCACTGCTCTTGCGCCCAGTGCCCTGACAGAGGGGGAGGTGGTGTGCGTCTGGGTCTGAGGATGCACACGCGTGTGTGCCTGGATCCGTAGGCACACGTGTGTGCCTGGTCTGAGTGTATAGGTGTGTTGCCTGGGTCTTAGCATGCACATGTGTGCGTCTGGGTCTGAGTATACACACGTGTGTGCCTGCATGATTGTGCATACACGTGTGTGCGTGCATGTGAGTGTACATGCACCTGTGTACCTGCCTGTGAGTGCCCACACGTGTGCATGGGTATGCACACGTGTGTGCCTGGGTCTGACTGTACCGGTGTGTGTGAGTCTGAGTGTGTGCATGTGTGTGTCTGGGTCTGAGTGTACACCCGTGTGTGCCTGAGCACGCACACGTATCCGCCCGGGCCCCAAGGGTGCGCACACACATGTGTGCGTGTGTGTGCACCTTCCCCGGGCCGGCTCCCGCCCTGCTCCCCGGGAGCCCCCGAGGGCCGAGGGCGGTGGGCTGACGCTGGCCTCCCGCGCAGGGCTACCGGCAGAAGGACCACTTCATCGCCACGCAGGGCCCGCTGGCGCACACGGTGGAGGACTTCTGGAGGATGGTGTGGGAGTGGAAGTGCCACACGATTGTCATGCTCACGGAGGTGCAGGAGCGGGAGCAGGTCAGAGCGGGCGGCCGCGGGCCGTGTGGGGAGGGGATGGACGCGCCCTGCCCCGCGGGGCCGGAGCCGTGCGCAGGCTGTCCTGCGGCTCCCGTCACGCTGGACCAGCGGCACCCAGTGGGCTCCCCTGGTGCAGACCCCACCAGGACCCTGGGCCCGTTAGCTCCCCCCTGCACCCCCACACCCCTGCAGCCCCAGGCTCCCCTTGGGGTCCGCCCCGTGCGCACGTCACGTGATGGGGTTCGAGGCCCCCGTCTTTCTCAAGCTGGCCTCTGCAGCCCTTCCTCCTCCTTCACAGACCACAGTGCCCTCTCTTGGGTTGACGCCCGAACTTGCGTCCTTGGGTGCTGGGACAGGCCTGTCCCCCTCGGGTCCACTCCCAGTGAAGCCCCCGACCGCGTCTGTGCTCGTCCCACAGACGCGTTCCCGCCCGCTCCGAGAGCAGCTGCACCATTTCTGTTTCCTCCACGGCGTCTTCCCTGGCCAGCCTGCCACGTCCTTGTCGGGCGACCCCCGGCGTGCAGGGTCCAGCCGGGGTCTCCACACCTCCCCGGCCCCGGCTGGCCCTGGCGAGTGAAGCCGCCCGCCAGCCTTTGCTGGCCAAACCTTCTCTGTCGTGTGCCGCCTGCCTTGAGAGTGGGGCGCAGTGGGGGTCTGGACATCCTGTAGGGGCCCGTCCTGTGCACGTCCTGCACGGGCCGTCTCCGCTCAGAGCTGCTAAGAATTCTGTCTGGAACCTGAGCTGCGTGTCCTGGTGACATGACCATTTCCCCGAACCCGAACCCCGAACCCGAACCCCCCATGCAGGCGGGCACTATGCGTGCAGAGCTGCACCGTGACCGTGGGCAGGCGTGGCCCTGAGGGTCCTTTCTCGTTCTTTGTCACTTCACACCTGAGCTCTTGTCCCCTGGGGGCCCGGGCAGGGGGCAGCGCCTCCCCCTCTCCACTCCCAAATGCTCCCACCCTGGCGAGGGCCACCAGTGCCGAGCGGCCGTACAGGAGGCCGGCTGATGCCCAGTCGCCCGCTGTGGGGGTCTTGCCTGGTCCTTCCGTGGCTCCGGGTCTTCTTTCCAGACCCCACGGCATGTGGGTCACAGGTGGGTGGGCCCGTGAACTGTCCCTCCTCCGGCAGCGGCCATGTCTAACTGGGGCATGAGCCGTGCTGTGGCTAATGTCGGGGTCCTCTGTGTGCGGTGGGCTCTGGGGGTCTCGGCGTCAACCCCGCAGTTATCATTGCGCCTCCTGCCATAAGGTCCAGAACGCAGCTGCCCCGCCCTTCTGGGGGGCTATGTCGGGGGTCTACCAGGGAACCAGCACTTCCAGGTCCCTTTGCCAACCCGCCCCCACCTCACGGGTCACACTCCGTGGACACCCTGTGTGTGTGTCGGGTTCCGTGGGCATCACTGCTGGGCACCCTACTGCGTCGTAGGTCAGGCAGCTACCTTGTCTGTCCCAAACAGTCACGGGGGCTCTGCGGGCAGTGCTGGCCCTCATCTGGCCATTCGCTGTGCCCTGACGGACCCTGTCGTCCTCCACCAGGACAAATGCTACCAGTACTGGCCCTCGGACGGCTCGGTCACCCACGGCGAGGTCACCATCGAGACCCGGAGCGACACACTCTCGGAGGGCATCAGCGTGCGGGACTTTCTGGTCACGTGCAAACAGGTGGGCACCCGACAGCGCCCGCGCTGGCCCCTGGGGCCCTGGGTAGGGGCAGCACTGTCCTGGGATCCCACACTCAGTCCTGGCCAGGAGGAATCGGCGGTGAATGAAGCCACGAGGCTGGGCATGCAGGGACCCCTGGTCAGTCCCGCCCCCCTCCTGGGTCCTGTCCAGCATTGCCCAGTCGCCCAAAGGGCTGTGGTCAGCCGTGGACAAGAGGCAGGAGCAGCTCTGAGTCCCAGGCCCTCAGCACGGTGTCCCCACCTCCCAGGTGACCCCGTCCACTGACCCCAGTCCCAGGATGGGAGCCTGAGCCTTGAGGGGGCCCCTGGGGTCCTGGAAGGGACAGTGACCTCTGCCCGGAAAGCTGGAGCCTCCAAGAGCCGGTTCCGCGGAGCCTAGGCCAAGGGTGCCCTCTACTGGTCTGTCCAGGAACTGCAGGAAGGTGCGCTGGCCTCTTCCTGGGGACACGGCCCCTTCGGGCTGGCCAGCTGGGAATGCCCCTGGAGAGTGGACCTGGGGTCACACTGGGGCACAGGTCAGCACTGACCACCCTCCCCCACAGCCCCCGCCAGCACTGAGCATCCCCACCCCCACAGCCTCCCGGCCGCCAGGAGGAGCAGCCCCGCCTGGTCCGTCAGTTCCACTTCCACGGCTGGCCCGAGATCGGGGTGCCCGCTGAGGGCAAAGGCATGATCGACCTCATCGCGGCCGTGCAGAAGCAACAGCAGCAGACGGGGAACCACCCCATCACCGTGCACTGCAGGTGACCCAGCCAGGGGGCCCCCGTCCCTGTCCGTTGCAGTGACCCAGCCAGGGGGCCACATCCCTGTCCATTGCAGTGACCCAGCCAGGGGGTGCCATCCCTGTCCACTGCTGTGACCCAGCAGGGAACCCCATCACTGTCCATTGCAGTGAACCAGCCAGGGGACCACATCCCTGTTCATTGCAGTGACCCAGCCAGGGCACCCCATCACTGCCCATTTTAGTTACCCACCCAGGGGGCCCCATCACTGTCCACTGTAGTGGCCAGACAGGGGGCCCCATCACTGTCCATTGTAGTGACCCACGCAGCAGGCCCCATCCCTGTCTACTGCAATGTGTCCACCCAAGCAGCCCAGCTCCTGGGACACACACCGACTCTGTGTGTTCACATCGCCCTGACCCACACACAAGGGGACACACCCTCCATTTCTGTTCCCAGTACCCTTGATGCCCTTCCCAGATGCCCAGTCCAGCTTGGACAGCCGCCTCCGACACCGTTTGTCCTCGTGTGGGTTGGCCTGCCAGCCATCTCCCCGGGCTGGATCTAGCTTGGGTCTGGGCTGGGCTGGTCTGGGCCAGCTGGGCTGGGCGAGCTGGGTCCGGCCCGCACCCTGCTGGCCGACACATGAGCCTGCTCCCCCCTGCAGTGCGGGCGCCGGGCGCACGGGGACCTTCATCGCGCTCAGCAACATCCTGGAGCGGGTGAAGGCCGAGGGGCTCCTGGACGTGTTCCAGGCGGTGAAGAGCCTGCGGCTGCAGCGGCCACACATGGTGCAGACCCTGGTGAGGACGGGGGCCTGGGCGCGCGTGGCGGCGTGTCCTTGGCGGGACTCAGGCGTGGGGCGCAGGACAGGGCCAGTCCAGCAGGGGGTCCAGCCAGACAGCCGGGGGCCCCGTGCGAAGTCCGTGACCCAAGTCCACACCTGCTGGTGTCACCCAGCCCCGTCCACCTGCTCCTTCCTGGGCCCTCCAAGTTGCACCCACGACCCCCATGGGGTCTGTTTGCACCTTTGACCCCTGGGAATAACCTGGGGGCCTGGAGGGTGGGCATCTGGCTGCAGAACCCACGGATTTGTGCTCCCACCCCACCCTTCCCTCCTCCAGTTCAGAGGCTGCCCGTCCCTGGCCTGGCCTGTCCACTCTGCCCCAGCCTCTGGACCGTGGCTCAGTCTGTCGGGGGCCAGGCAGGACCCCAGAGTAGCTCCTCCCGCCTGGTGCACCTGCAGGGGTATCGGAAGGCAGAGAACATCCCTCCCGCTGCCCCTGGCGCTGACGGCACAGGCTGGGGCCCCCGGGTAGCCCAGCCCGCAGGGTGTCAGAGCGGCTCGAACCTGGGGCCAGCAGGCCAGGAATGTGGGTGTCCACTGGCTCCTGTGCCCCTGTCCCCGGACCCTCCCCGCAGTGGGGCCAGCAAGCAAGAAGGGCTGGATCCCCCAAGCCCACCTTGGACCCCTGACCCCGGCCCCGCATCTGTAGGCCCCAGCTCAGTTCCAGTCCCCTCGGGCCCCAGAAGCTTCCGGGAGCAGCTCTCTGTCCTGTGGTGGCCGATGGCTCCAGGCTGCTGCAGGACCCCTCTGCGCCCGTGTCCCACGGGAATGAGTCAGAGGTGAACGACCTTGTTCGCCGCCATGGAACGTGGCCTGCCCTCTGCCCCAGAAGTGATGCACTCTGGTTTCTTCCCCACACCGAAATCAGTGTTTTCCAGTTTAAATGTGAGAACTACAGACCTTTGTCTCGAATGGTCCAGTAGTGCTGACCTTTCCTGGGCCCGGATACAGCTCAGTGGGGACCCCAGGTCTCCGGGTGCCAGGCCCCTGGGACCGGGCAAGACCCAGATATCTCTGCAAATTTCCCCGTGGTTATTGCTGAGTTACAGCCCGGGCTGATCCTCACGGGGATATCTTAAGAACAAGGCGGTCTGGGACTGGAGCATAGCGGGGAGGGCGTTTGCCTTGCATGCGGGCAACCCGGGTTCGATTCCCAGCATCCCAAAGGGTCCCCTGAGCACTGCCAGGACTAGTTCCTGAGTGCATGAGCCAGGAGGAAGCCCTGTGCAAGGCCAGGTGTGACCCAAAAAGCAGAAAGAAAAAAAAAAAAAGAACAAGGCTTTCTCCTGCTCCTTTCGAACGATTCCACTGATGAAATGAAGGAAAAGCAGTGTTTTGTGTCTCATTTTCATGGTGTCTTGATCTTTCTCTTTCAGGAACAGTATGAATTCTGCTACAAAGTGGTACAAGACTTTATCGATATATTTTCTGATTATGCTAATTTCAAATGAAAACTCCTGCCTTAAAATATTTTTTAATTTAATGGTCAGTATATTTTGTAAAAAAAAAAAACATGTTAATTTATTTCATGGTTCACATTAATAGCTCCCTAATTTCCTTGTATATATATTTTGTTATGTGTGTAAGGCCACGTACTGTAATGTCATTACATCCTAAACGCCCCCTTTCCAGAACCGAAGTAACGTATGAAGGTCACGTAAATCCCACAAACCATATGTTTCTGCTAACATCAGTAAATATTTTTAATTTTTCATTAGATTCAGATCCTTGAGTTTCACACTTTGGACACCTCTAAATGTTAACGGTTTTAAGGCTTCCCCGTGCGAGGGTGCAGGAAATTCCCCGGTAACTCCGTTGCTAAGGAAACGGCCAGGGACCAGGCAGGTGGAGTCAGCCCCTGTGCTTCACTGCCCTGGCCAGCCGGAGCTGGGGCCGCCTGGAAGGCCCCTTCCTGGAGACGGACGGGAAACTGGCAGCGGGGAGAACTCTCGTGCCCACCACTCCGGATAAGATTTACGTCTTAAAGAGCAACGTTTTCGTCGGCGGAGTCTGGATCTGTGGCCGTCTGGAGGCGCTGGGTTGATGCTCTCCTGGGTCCCAGGCTGTGTCTGGGCCCCAGGGGGCTGGGTAGGAAGACGCTGGTGGTCGAGGCCTCTGAGCCGCCAAGCCAGTCCTGAGCCGGGATGCTCTGCCCAGTGGCCTCTCCGGCATGCCTGAACCCCACCCCTGGGCAGAAGTCCCGAGACAGCCCCGTTCGGATGCCCGGGGCAGGGAGCACCCTTCGGGGGGTACGAACAGGACACCCACAGACTATTAATTAGACTTTAAATGTTCAAAGATGCATTTTGGTATTTAAAACTCTCTTGTAAAAAAAAAATGACTGTTTGTAAAGAAAGGAAATCTTTTTTTAAAAAAAAATCTATAGATTTATACCTTTTTTTTTTTAAAGTTCCTCCTTCTCGATATTTAATGAAAGAAGAGGGGGTCCTTCGTTCAAGGGTAACTTATTTTTGAATGAAAATGCTGCTGAGACCGTTGACACTGGACAACGATGACCCACTGCCGACAGCACTGGCCGAGTGCGGGGAGGCCAGGAGGCAGGACACCCGAGTCCAGTCCCGGTGACGTGTGCAGGACCCTGGCAGCCGCCGATGAGCACAAGACAACAGGCCAGACCCGGGCCTCCTTGCACACGGGTCCGAGCACGGCTGGAGCCCTCCTGGCTCTCGGGAAGAGCTGCCCCTCCCCTGGGCGCGTCTGGCAGCGGCTGAGGGCCCCCCACCCCCGGCTCTCAGCGTCCCCATCTCAAGCACACAAAGGCACCCAGACGGCAGCTCATCCGGCTCTGTCGAGGGCGGTGGTCCACTACAAGGACAAAGCACCAACTCGCAGGTTCCAGCTCACGCCCCGCTCAGTTCCTGCGCCGTGTCCCCGTCCCGGGTCCGAGAGGCCGGCGGACGAGGCTGGTCAGCGGCCCACCGTCCATCCTGTGTTCCCATAGTTCCAGTCCCACACTAGAGCCGTTCTTTGACCAACGGCGGAGTGACTGAGCCTTGGTACCACCAGAAGCTGCTGGTTCTGTGGGTTGGAGGTGCCGGGGCAAGGCCGGGGTCCGGGTCCAGATGGAGGTGCCTTAATCACGGTCCTTGCCGTCCCGGGGACGAAACTGTGTCTCTTCCTAGGCCCTCAGGTGTCCCGAAGAAGTGCCCGACTGTGTGGTCATCTGCCCCACTGGGCCATCCCCAGGGATCCCGGCCACTGGTCCTGTCCTTCCTGTTCTAGAACCTTCCCGCCCCAGTCCAAGACAACAGTTACCTTTGGGGAGTGGAAGGTTCCCGGTCATCTGGTCCACACAGTCCCGGCGGACACCAGGGTCCCCGAGTCCCTCTGTCCAGCTGGAAGTAGGTTTCTCTCCCCCGCTGGCCGAAGGACACGCGTTGCCCACCCTCGCAGTGCCACACCCACAGCACTTCTCCGCCGGATGCCAAACGTGACCAGAAGGCCCCGTTCTGACCCGGAGGTCGCAACCCGCGGCCCTGACCGGCCCCCTGTGCAGTCTGCAGGAAGAGCGCACGCCAGTGTCCTCGAAGGGATTTTTACGTGTTTTTAAAAACTTTTTCAAATGAGCCTGAGCCCTCGGCTGCCACCCTGGAGACACCTCCTCTTCCTCTCCACTGTCCGGCCGCGAGCTCCGGGCCCTGCGTCCCCGCTGGTCACCCACGCGCGTCCTCCTCTCGGCCACGTTCTCCTCTCTCACGGGGGCAGTTCCATCTTGCTCTGACGACTGCAGGTGAATGTCGCGGATTCTTTGTAGATGCAGATCGCGAGATCCGGAACCTTCCGACGCGAGGATAAATCTTGCCATCTTTGAATCTCGCTCGCCTGTGTCTCGTTCTTCATCGGACTGAGTCCTGTCAGGCAGGAGGGTCCCAGGAGGTGGGCGGAGATTGAGGAGCTTCGGAGAGCCCCTGGCAGTGGAGCAGGGAGCCCCCGGCAGGGGTGCCTGCCCCTCCCTGGGACACGGGGTCCAGTGAGCTGTGGGGTCCCCGCCGTGAGGGTCCCGGTCTGTGAGCGGTGCTTCCTGAAGGTCCCAGCGGTGCCGGCCGCCTGGTGGATCCCTAGACCCTCCCCCCGGCCCTCCCCGCCCGCCCTCACCCCCTCTCGCCTTTCAGCTCCCCGGGCATGGACCGCTGCAGCCGGTGGCGCCCACTCTCTCTCCTGACCAGCTCGGCCCCAGCTGCAGAAACGCCTGCCTGGAGGGCTCTCCCCTCGCACCCCTGCCGCCCTTGTCCCATCCCACCTCTCCCTCAGCCCACGGGCGCTGGAAGGGCAGGCACGTCCCGGCCTGTTTGGGGGCCTGGACCCGGCGGGGCGGGGGGCGGGCAGCGGTTTCACTGCGGGGCGGGGACAGCGGGAGGGAGAAAGCAGTGGGGGGCAGGATGCTGCCGCTGGCACGACCACTCCCAGGGGCCTCCTGCAGGGGGGGCAGCGGCCTGGAGCCCCAGACCCCCACTGGGTCAAGGGTGGGTCCCCCGCCAGGGCCCAGCCTCCGCAGAGCCCCCGGGGCACCGTCCACCCCAGTGGTCGGCCCACGAGGGCCTCGACTCCTGCCTGTCAGATGTCCCAGAGCAGAACGCACCGAAGGGGCTTTACCCTGCCAGGACAGGAGGCTGGACACACACCTGCATGGACACAGCCCACGCACGGACACACACCCGCACGGACACACACCCACACGGACACAGCCCACGCACGAACACAGCCCACGCACGAACACACACCCGCATGGGCACACAGCCACACGGGCACACATCCGCATGGACACACACCCGCACGGATACACACCCACACAGACACAGCCCACACAACACACAACCACACAGACACACCCACACAGACACACACCCACATGGACACAGCCCACACACAGACACACACCCGCACAGACAGCCCACGCATGTACACACACCAACATGGACACACACCCGCACGGACACAGCCCACACACAACACACAAACACACATACACACACATGGACACAGCCCACACACAGACACACACCCGCACAGACAGCCCACGCATGTACACACACGCACGAATACACACCCACACGGACACACACCTGGACACACACCCACATGGACACAGCCCGCGCATGGACACACACCCGCATGGACACACACCCTCATGGACACAGCTCCCGCACGTGCACACATCCCGCAGATACAACCCACCCCTGCTGAGTGGCAGGCACGTGGCGTGTAAATCTTTTATGCATCTGGAAATATCAGCAAATTTATATTCATTTCAATGAGAAAAGCCTAGAGCAGGACCCAGTGATAGCGGCGGGTAGGGCATTTGCCTTGCACACAGCTGACCCGGGTTCGATCCCCAGCACCCTTCTAGGGTTCCTCAGGGCCCACCAGGAGTGACTCCTCAGCTCAGAGCCAGGAGAAAGCCCTGAGCAATGCCCGGTGCGTCCCCAAACATCGGGGAAAAAAAGAAGAAAAGTGGTTAGGGTCGGAGGAGGAAGCCCGCGGCACCATTCTGGGATCCTGTGTGTTCCGTCGCCTGGAAAAGTCTTACTCCCTCCCCTAGGTTTCCAGTTTCTGAGAAACTATTTCAAATGATCGTCAACGTGAAGGATAAAGTCTTTTACAACAGGCCCCTTAATTTCAGCTTTATCAGCGATCACAGCAAAACGCTTCTGACACAAATCTATCCTTTGTTCAAGAGAACCTTTAAATGTTTAAATGTGTCCCGGCGAGATAACCCCCCGCCCTGGCGTCTGCCGGCGGAGATATGTCAGGCCGCCGCCGCCACCATCGCTCACTGCAAACCATCCACAGGGCCGTGTTGCTTCATCAGGCTGCAATCAGCTTTCCCGAGTAAAAAACAATCGTTTCGCCGCTCGCAATTTGTGTTTTACAACCCGGAGCCGCGCGTTAACGACGGGACCCGCGTCGCTGATGTAATTTCAGGGGAAGGGGGGAGTCACGCCAAAGTGGATGGCGCTGCCTGTTCGAACCAGCCTCGCCGGGAGCCTCGCCGGGAGCCTCGCCGGGGTCTCTGGGAATAAGCGCCCAGAGGCGCCAAGCCCAAACCCTCCGCCTCTACTCGTGACCTCTAGGAGTCGGTGCTCGGCGGGGAGCGGTGATCAATGGCCGTGTTCTGTATCATTTCCCTCAGAAGAGCAGCTTGGGGCTCACTGTTGCTGACACAGCATACTTTGTTCTAGCAGATTCAGCAAGAGTTGCATGGGTTGCCCGGGTTCGGGGTGAGTGGGGGAAGGGTTGGCGCAGATTTCATTTTAAAACAGAAAAAGGGAGCTGCCATAAGAATGCAGCCGGAAGGCTTTTGTCCTGCATGTGGCTGATCTGGGTTGAGTCCCAGCAGCCCAGGTGGTCCCCCTAGGATCGCCAGGAGTGATCCCTGAGTGCAGAGCCAGGAGGAACCCCTGAGCACCGCTGGGTGTGGGTGATCCCCAAACAAACCAAATAGACCGTAGAAAAGAAGCGGCGGCGGGCAGTGTTGGGTGGGCACTGCTCCAGGCACCCAGGGCGTCCTGTTGGCTAACTGCCAGAAGACGTCCTGCCAGGAGGGGCCAGAGAGAGGCTTCCTGGGCCCAGGCCCAGCCCCTGACCTTCCTCTGGGCATGGCTGGGGCGTCTGGGTTCGGGACCCGGAGGAAACTCAGGCCCCACTCTTGGAGGTCCTGCTTGAGCTGCTGCTGCCCGGGCCTGCCTGGAGGGGCTGCAGGGCTGAGTGGGGGTTGGGGTGGATGCGATCCAGACCCGGGCCCTGGAATCAGGCTGTGCCCGGACGCCCCCAGCTGCTCCCGAGCTGGGCCAGGCCGGCTCTTGCCTCTGTGTCCACACCTGGGGCCGCTTTCGAGCTGTGGAGTGAAGGACGCTGAGAGCAGGTGGGGCCCAGGCCGCCAGGTCCACTGTCTGCGGAGCCGTCCCGACGGCGTCCCCGACCTCCCGGCCGTTCAGCCACACTGTGCTCCCTGCCCGTCTCCTGACACGACCAGTGGGTCCAGAACCCACCTCCGGGGCCAGAATCCTGAGTGTGGGGAGCAATGGGCCCAGACGTGGGCTCTGACGGGACCCGGGGCCCAGGAGTGCGGGTGCCCAAGAGCCCGGCTCCCAGGGGGCTCGCCCCACCGCGCCCAGAGCTGCTCCTCCAGCCCGGCACCCCCACCCCCACCCCCGGCCCCGTTTCCCACACCAGTCACACCCCACTCCTGCATTTCTTAACAAAATATTTATTTCTTGGTGGCCCCAGTAGCTGCCAGACACCAGGCTCAGGACCGGGACAAAGCAGGTAAGGGCGCCCTGCAAGGTCTGCGGCCTCAGCCCTCAGCAGAAAGCACCCCAGGCTGAGGCAAGCACCCAAGACGGAAACAAGCACCCCAGACCGAGACAAGCACCCAAGACGGAAACAAGCACCCCAGGCCGAGACAAGCACCCGCTAGGAAGAGTGAGTGACCACGGCTTCCGCGGGCTGTTGTCACCCTCCGACGCAGGCTTGGAACCAAACGCCCCACAATGTGGAGGGACCTTCCGAGGGTCCCCCCGGCTTCCTGAGTGCGGGGACCTGTGGCCCACAGCGTCAGACCCCGCCCCCCTCCCTCCCCACCTCCCCCCCTGCCCCACTGTACAACTTCATCTTGTCAGGAGAAAAGCGGCCCCTTGGCGGCCAGGACAGGGAATAAGAGCAGGAAATTTGCTGGCACAGCGCGGCCCCCGAGCATGGCTGGGGCCTCTCCAAAAAGAACAGAGCAAACCAAATCAAACTTTCGCCCTTACGCAACCCACAGCATTTACAGAACATTCCCAGGCGCCGCGACTTCAAACTCAACCCCCCTCCCAGCCCACCCCTCCCAGCGGTCAGCTAAACAGCCGCCCTCTCCCGCCGGCTCCGAAGGCGGAGTTTCTTGGCGTCCACGTCGTCGTTCTCCTGTGGGGAGAGGGGGTGGGCGTCAGTCACGGCACACACAGGCACCAACCCCGCCTGCCCACCCGCCAGGGACTGCGAGCTGCCCCCCCTCCCCACAGGCCAAACCATTGGAGGGTCCCGGGACTGCGGCACTGTCCAGCCCCCGCGTGATGCTTAAAGGCGCAGGGCTGGGGTGTGAGGAAGGGGCACGGCGGGTGCCCGGACCTAGCCCATGGCTCCCCTCATCCCCCATTTTTATCTGGCTGTTCGCACTTCAGTGTTTTTTTGTCTTTTGATACAAGAGTTTGTGCCTGTTTCCAGGGTCACGGTCAGTCAAGGTCTGTGCAGATCAACCTTCAGTGAGGGAGAATCCCGGCACACGGGGACTTTGCTTTCTTAGAAGCCGTCTGAGGGTGCACACGCGTGGCCCCGAGACCCTCTGAGAGGCGCCCAGGGATGAGTAGCACCACCCGGCAATGACTGCAGGGCATTCTCCACCCACTACGTGCGACACCCCGACCCTGGCGGGGGCTCACACCCTCCCCGCCAAGACTCTGGGAGCTGTACTCTGGGGCAGAGTCAGACAAGAGTCAGGAGGTCAGAGGCCAGGACTGGGGGGCAAGTGGCGTGGCCTGAGCTTGGCAGGAGGGAGCCTCAGGGACTGGTCGTAGAGGGCTGGGCAGGGTCTTGCCAGTGTCCAGGCCATCTTTGGTCTCTGCGGCTCCCCTCGCCTCCGGGAAACACCAGGGGGTCAGAGCGGGAACCCCCCCAAGGGTCTGACTGCAGGCCCCAAAGCAAAGACAGAGCGACGAGAAAGGCCCTGCGTGTCCTCAGCTGCCCCTGGCACTGCTGGGCGCTAGCCCACAGCAACATCACAGCGTGTCGCGGTGTGGGAGCTCTCGGGGTCCCGCCCTGGACACAGGGCTGCAGGGCGAGCAGGGGGTCCCACTCTCCCCCGAAAAGGGGTGTCTCGTGCTCCTGGAGCTCCCAGAACCCCCCATCCCTCCAGCTCTCCAACAGGTGTGGGCTTCAGGAGAGCCCACAGATGCGCCAGGACTCTCAGGCCACACGAGCTGCCCGGAACTGGGTCATCGCGTGGGAAGGGAGGCGGCCCTAGCCAGGAGGGTCAGCCTTGTCCTCCCCAGCCGGCCCTTTGGGTTTGGAGGGAGGTCAGAGCTGTGGACGCTCACCCGGGGGGGCAAAGTCCCAGGACCTGCCCAGAGCCCAGTGAGCAGCCCTCCGCCCCCTCCCCCGTGGCCCAGGCTGCTGCGATGGCCAAGTGGCCGGCCGTGCTAGGACAGGGACGGGACTTGCCTTCTCTGCGTCGTCACCGCCTCGCTTGCTGCCCCGAGTCACTCTGGGCTTGGAGTCTGGGCCCGCGGTGTCCTGCTGGACCGGGACCATGGCCTTCCTGCTGGTTCTGAGCGCGGCCTTTCCCGGGGCTCCGGCTGGACTCTCCTCGGCGGCCCTGGGCAGAGGCGCCTTCTTCCCCCTGGCCGGCCGCGGGGCTGCCTTGCTGTCTGGGCCACGGGTGTCCGTGGGGGCTGCCTCTTGCGGGCGTGGGGGCTCGGGGTCCTGTGTGGCTCCCAGTGGCGACCTCCTGTCCCTCCTGGCTTTCGTCTTCTCCGCTGGACTCAGAGACTCGGGTGCTGGCACTTCAGCATCTGCTTCTTTGGGGCGTTGGGAGCGCAGGGGCCTCCCCTGAGGAATCTAGAGGTAAGACAAGAAAGGCCTGAGCGACGGTAGGGGCAGGACAAAGGAGCTCTGAAGAGCAGGTGCCAGGAAATGGACATCAATGATCTTGGGCATCAGGAAACGGGCACCAACGGTCTTGGGCACTGGGAAACGGGCACCAACGGTCTTGGGCACTGGGAAACGGGCACCAACGGTCTTGGGCAACGGGAAACGGGCACCAACGGTCTTGGGCAACGGGAAAAGAGCATCAATGGTTTTGGGCACCAGGAAACGGGCACCAACGGTCTTGGGCACCGGAAAATGGGCACCAACGGTCTTGGGCACCGAGAAAAGAACACCAACAATCTTGGGCATCAGGAAACAGGCACCAATGGTCTTGGGCACCAGGAAATGAGCACTAACAGCTTAGGCACTGAGAAACGGGCACCAACGTTCTTGGGTACCGAGAAACAGACACCAATGGTCTTGGGCACCGGAAACGGGAAACGGGCACCAACAGTCTTGGGCACCAAGTAGCTGAAACCTCAACCTCCCAGCAGCCCCATGCGGACCCCCATGTCCCAGACCAACTCCCGCCACGAGCACGGAGTGGAAAGGGGTTGGAGAGCCGCCCTTTGCTCACGTGCCGGTGTCTACACTACCCGCCTCGCCCCTGCCATCGGGCCCGTGTCATCACCTGTCGGGTCGTGCCGGCTCTGCCAGCTCGGGTGCCGTCCGCCTGCTCCTGCTTGGTGCTGTCGGGCTGCTCCTCCGCAGGCTCCGTCCTCCGGGCCCGAACCCTCTGGCTCTGCGCCGTGATGGGGGGGTCCGGGGGCGCCACCCGCTGCTTCTTCTGCACCGGCGGCTCCTCTGCTGCTGGCTCTGGGCGCTGCCTCTTCCCTCTGGTGACCCGTCCGGCTGGGGGCGCCGGGAGAGCGGGGCCTTGGCTCGGGGAGGCCCCGGGGTCTCCACTGCTCTCTGGCTCCTCCACAGGCGCCCCCAGAGGGCCCTGGGGGCCACTTCTGGGAGTCCTAGCTGGCCGCCGCCTCGTGCTGAGGGCTGTTTGCTCTGGAGCCTGGACGCCGGCCAGCTGGGACAGCTGGAGATGGACTCTCGGCTGGGCCTCCTCGCCCGGGGACCCGGCCTGGGCCCGCAGCGGCCTCCTGCTTCTGCTTACAGGGTCACCCAAGTCCGGCTTCTGCTCGGTGGCTCCCTGGGATGACGTGGCGGCCGCATCCCCGGGGTCCTTGGCGGCTCCTCTCACTGCTCTGCTGGCTCTCGGGCGAGTGGGTGCCTCCTCGCTGCCCGCTGTGCCGGCTGCTGCCCGGAGCCGCCGCCTCTTGTTGCCTGGGCTGGCTGAGTCTGCCTGGGGGGCGCTGAGGGGTGCCTCTGAGGGTCTGCCCTCAGGGCTCAGCACGCTGGCATCCTCATGGGGGCTGGGGGGCTCAGTTGACTCGGCCAGGACTTCCGGGGCCTCGGCCTTTGCCCGGGCTGCTCGCAGCTGCCTCCTGCTTCCTGCCGCCCCTTCTGCGGGCTGGGGCTTCTGCCCGGCTAGTTCCTGAGGGGCCTTGGCACTGCCCTCGCCGTCAGCCTGGTCGGAGCGTGCGGCTCTCCCCGTGGCTGCCCGGGTGGGCCGGCGGCCAGCAGGAGGCTCCACATCTCCGTGCTCTGGACCCACAGGGGCTTGGACCCGCCTTGTTCTTGTTGTCACGACGGTGGGCTTGGCTGGAGGGTCTGCACGGGCCACCCTGGGGGTCTTGGCAGCAGACACGGGCTCATCTGTGTTCTGCGGTTGGGGGGGCTCCCTCTGCTCGGCCGGGACTTCCGGGGCCTCGACTTTTACCCGGGCTGCTCGCAGCTGCCTCCTGCCTCCTGCCGCCCCTTCTGCTGGCTGGGGCTTCTGCCCGGCTGGTCCCGGATCGGCTGTGGCACCTTCCTCGCCGTCGGCCTGGTCCAAGCGTGTGGCTCTCCCCGTGGCTGCCCGGGTGGGCCGGCGGCCAGCAGGAGGCTCCACGGCTCCTGGGGTTGGACCCGCAGGGGCTTGGACCCGTCTTGTTCTCATTGTCACGACGGTGGGCTTGGCTGGAGGCTCTGCACGGGGCACCCCGGGGGTCTTGGCAGCAGACACGGGCTCATCTGTGTTCTGCGGTTGGGGGGGCTCTCTCGGCCCAGCCGGGCCTCCCGGGGCCTCGACTTTTGCCCGGGCTGCTCGCGGCTGCCTTGTGCTTCCTGCCACCCCTTCTGCGGGCTGGGGCTTCTGCTCGGCTGGTCCCTGAGAGGGGGCAGCACCTCCCTTGCCATCGGCCTGGTCCAAGCGTGTGGCTCTCCCCGTGGCTGCCCGGGTGGGCCGGCGGCCAGCAGGAGGCTCCACGGCTCCTGAGGTTGGACCCGCAGGGGCTTGGACCCGCCTCGTTCTCGTTGTCACGACGGTGGGCTTGGCTGGAAGCTCTGCACGGGGCACCCTGGGGGTCTTGGCAGCAGACACAGACTCCTGTGTGTGCCCCTCTGGCTGGGGGGGCTCCCTCAGCTCGGCTGAGCCTTCCGGGGCCTCGACTTTCACCTGGGCCGCTCGCGGCTGCCTCCCGCTTCTCGTAGTCGTCAGCTTCTCGGTGGGCTCCAGCCGCTGCTTTGGCGCTTCCTTTGGCGGTTCGGTGCCTTCTGCCCCGGCTGCCGTGGTGGGGCCTGTGCGGGGGGCCCGGCGGCGGGTGGGCAGCTCCTCTCCTGGGTGCTCTGGTCCCGCGGCGGCGCGGGGCCGCCTCACTCTGCTGCTCACGACAGACTCTGGCTGGGGGGCTTCGTGGGGGTCCTCAGCGACGTTGACAGCAGACATTGGCTCCTGGGCTTGCTCGGGACTTCGGAACAGCTCTCTCAAACCCACCAGGTCTTCCAGGGGCTGTGCCTTCACTCTGGGGGTCCCCGGCTTCCTCCTGCTCCTGCCGACAGCTTCTGCCCGGCTGAGGCCCTGCTCTGGAGTTTCCTGCAGAAATGTGACCTTTCCCGTGGCACTGGCTGGGCCTGTGTGTATGGAGGCGGCCCTCCCCGGCGTGTGGGGGGTTGTTCTGGCTGCGAGGGGCTCCCCCACTTCTTGGGATGGTGTCTTGACTCGCCTGCTGGTGCTGGGAGTGCCAGTGGGTTCTGGCTTGGCAGACAAGCAGGGCCCGTCCTCGGACGTTGCTGTCTTAACGTGCTCTGGGGTTCGGAAAAGCTCTTCCAAGCCGGCCAGGTCTTCGAGGGGCTGCGCCTTCACTCTGGGGGTCCGCGACCGTCTCCTGTTCCCCGTGATGCCTGCTGCTGGGCTCAGGTCCTGCCCTGCAGCCTCTTGAGACCCCGTGACTCCTTCCAGACCTGCTGGCTCTCCATGTGTGGGGGCAGCCCTCCCAGGTGTGTGGGGGGCTGATCTGGCAGCGGAGGGTTCCTGCACGCCCCGAGACGGTGTCTTGAGTCGCTTGTTGGTACTGGAGGTTCCAGCTGGCTCTGGCTTGGCAGACAAACAGGGCCCGTCCTCGGACGTTGCTATTGCCTTGACTTGCTTTGGGGTTCGGAAAAGCTCTTCCAAGCTGGGCAGGTCTTCATGGGACTGCACCTTCACTCTGGGGGTCCCCGGCTTCCTCCTGCTCCCGCTGACACCTTCTGCCGGGCCCAGGTCCTGCTCTGGAGTTTTCTGTAGAAGCCTGAGCTTTCCTGCATCACTGGCTGGTCCTCTGCACGTGGGGGTGGCCCTGCCTGGTGTGTGTGGGGTTGTTCTGGCTGTGGAAGGTTCCTGCATGCCCCGAGATGGTGTCTTGAGTCGCCTGCTGGTGATGGGGGTGCCGGCGGGCTCTGGCTTGGCAGATGAGCAGGGCCCATTCACGGACGTTGCTGCCTTGACTTGCTCTGGAGTTCGGAAAAGCTCTTCCAAGCTGGCCAGGTCTTCGAGGGGCTGTGCCTTGACTCTGGGGGTCCGCGACCGTCTCCTGTTCCCCGTGATGCCTGCTGCTGGGCCCAGGTCCTGCCCTGCAGCCTCCTGAGGCCCCATGACTCCTTCCAGACCCGCTAGCTCTCCATGTGTGGGGGCGGCCCTCCCCGGTGTGTGGGGGGCTGATCTGGCCGCGGAAGGTTCCTGCACGCCCCGAGATGGTGTCTTGAGTCGCCTGCTGGCGGTGGGGGTGCCGGCGGGCTCTGGCTTGGCAGATGAGCAGGGCCCGTTCTCGGACGTTGCTATTGCACTCACTTGCTTTGGGGTTCGGAAAAGCTCTTCCAAGCTGGGCAGGTCTTCATGGGACTGCACCTTCACTCTGGGGGTCCCCGGCTTCCTCCTGCTCCCGCTGACACCTTCTGCCGGGCCCAGGTCCTGCTTTGGAGTCTCCTGTAGAAACCTGAGCTTTCCTGTGTCACTGGCTGGTCCTCTGCACATGGGGGTGGCCCTCCCTGGTGTGTGTGGGGTTGTTCTGGCTGCAGAAGGTTCCTGCATGCCCCGAGATGGTGTCTTGAGTCGCCTACTGGCGGTGGGAGTGCCGGATGGCTCTGGTTTGGCAGACGAGCAGGGCCCGTCCTCGGATGTTGCTGCCTTGACTTGCTCTGGGGTTCGGAAAAGCTCTTCCAGGCTGGGCAGGTCCTCAAGGGGCTGCGCCTTCACTCTGGGGGTCCGTGACCGCCTCCTGCTCCCCGTGATGCCTGTTGCTGGGCCCAGGTCCTGCCCTGCAGCCTTCTGAGGCCCCATGACTCCTTCCAGACCCGCTGGCTCTCCCCCTGTGGGGACGGCCCTCCCGGGTGTGTGGGGGGCTGATCTGGCAGCGGAGGGTTCCTGCACGCCCCGAGACAGTGTCTTGAGTCGCTTGTTGGTACTGGAGGTTCCAGCTGGCTCTGTCTTGGCAGACGAGCAGGGCCCGTCCTCGGACTTTGCTATTGCCTTGACTTGCTTTGGGGTTCGGAAAAGCTCTTCCAAGCTGGGCAGGTCCTCATGGGACTGCGCCTTCACTCTGGGGGTTCCCGACTTCCTCCTGCTCCCACTGACACCTTCTGCAGGGCCCAGGTCCTGTTCTGGAGTTTTCTGTAGAAACCTGAGCTTTCCCGCATCACTGGCTGGTCCTCTGCACATGGGGGTGGCCCTCCCCGGTGTGTGTGGGGTTGTTCTGGCTGCGGAAGGTTCCTGCACAACCCGAGATGGTGTCTTGAGTCGCCTGCTGGCAGCGGGGGTGCCGGCGGGCTCTGGCTTGGCAGACGAGCAGGGTCCATCCTCGGACTTTGCTTCCTTGACTTGCTTTGGGGTTCGGAAAAGCTCTTCCAAGCTGGGCAGGTCCTCAAGGGGTTGCACCTTCCCTCCGGTGGTTCCCGACTTCCTCCTGCTCCCACTGACACCTTCTGCAGGGCCCAGGTCCTGTTCTGGAGTTTTCTGTAGAAGCCTGAGCTTTCCCGCATCACTGGCTGGTCCTCTGCACGTAGGGGTGGCCCTCCCCGGTGTGTGTGGGGTTGTTCTGGCTGCGGAAGGTTCCTGCATGCCCCGAGATGGTGTCTTGAGTCGCCTGCTGGTGATGGGGGTGCCAGCGGGCTCTGGCTTGGCAGACGAGCAGGGTCCATCCTCGGACTTTGCTTCCTTGACTTGCTTTGGGGTTCGGAAAAGCTCTTCCAAGCTGGGCAGGTCCTCAAGGGGCTGCGCCTTCACTGTGGGGGTCTTCGACCGCCTCCTGCTCCCTGTGACGCCTCCTGCCAGGCCCAGGTCCTGCCCTGCAGTCTCCTGAGGTCCCGTGACTCCTTCCAGACCCGCTGGCTCTCCACGTGTGGTGGCAGCCCTCACCGGCTTGTGGGGAGTTGTTCTGGCTGCAGGGGTCTCCCCCACTCCCCGGGATGGTATCTTGAGTCGCCTGCTGGGGGTGGGGGTGCCGGCGGGCTCTGGCTTGGCAGATGAACAGGGCCCGTCCTCGGACGTTGCTATTGCATTGACTTGCTTTGGGGTTTGGAAAAGCTCTTCCAAGCTGGGCAGGTCCTCAAGGGGCTGTGCCTTCACTCTGGGGGTTCCCGACTTCCTCCTGCTCCCGCTGACACCTTCTGCCGGGCCCAGGTTCTGTTCTGGAGTTTTCTGTAGAAGCCTCAGCTTTCCTGCATCACTGGCTGGTCCTCTGCACATGGGGGTGACCGTCCGCGGTGTGCGTGGGGACTTCCCGATCATAGGGGTCTCCTGCACGCCCTGGGCAGCCTCCGCTGTAAGGAAGAAAAACAAAACACATGAGTCCATGTGGGGCTCAGCTTCCAGCAAGGCGTTCCTTTCTGTTTCTTGGGTCACGCCGGCTGTGCTCAGGGCTCACTCCTAGCCCTGCATGAAGCATCACTCCAGGCCATGCTCCGGGGACCACACGGGATGGCGGGGATGAAGCCATGAGCAGGCAAAGGCCCTCCTGCGTGCTCTCGCGGAGTCCTATTCTGACGCCCTGACAGCCACCACTCTTAGAACTAAGACAGGGGCTGATCTGAGGGCTCTGGCCTGGGCATTGGCTCCTCCAGGACCAGACGGGACAACCAGAGCCCCGAAGTGGCCGGGCCATGTCACGGAGACCTGGACGAAAGCACTTTTCCTCAGCGCCGGAAGCAGCGTCTGCCCTGCCTGACAGCTCTCCAGCCCCGCACTGACTGGTCCCCTCCCCCACCCGCCTCGGTGCCACACAGCTCCTCGGTGCCAGGGACTGGGCGGCAGTCCCCCGGGAGACAGAACACAGAACAGTGGGTGCTGCCGTAGGACACGGCCATGTGGACGCCTTCTCATGGGCATCTGTGAGCCGCTGGTCAGAACTACACAGAGAAGCCCAGAGACGCATCCCTGCGTACAAAGTCCCCTCTGACCCCAGGGAAGAGAAGGCAAAGGCCAGAGTTCACAGTTACCAGCTGGGCAGAGCCCAGATGCCGTGACCAAGGGGAGCTGCGTGGGTCGGAGGCTGCGCAGGGGAAGGCTGCCTTGCGTGGGGCCAAGCAGCTCAATGTCCGGTACCGCTTGGTCCCAGAGCACGGCCGGGCACAGCCCCAGAGCCTCGGTCGTCCTTGGCACCAGAGGGCCCGGGCAATAGCGCATCCTCGGAACCTCATGCCTGGCTGGCTCCGAACTGTCCCACCCTTGGGTGCCCCCCACCCCCAGCAAATACAGAAACGTCTGCCGCAGTGAGCTAGTGTCCCACGCTGCCACCCCAGCTGCTGAATCAGGCCACGCCGAGAGCCGGGCACCTACCCATCGTGTCCAGGACAGCGGGAACAGTCTCCTCACCGAAACCGGGGGCGGGAAGCTTTGCGGCCAGCAGGCCCCCAGAGGCAGATCGGCGGGCAGGACGCGTGTTCCTCCTCGGGGAGGCCCCTCTCCCGGGAGTCTGGAACATCTCGGCCAGCCCTATGGGATGAGTATCCTCAGTGAACGGGCCGCTGGCACTCCCCATGAAGAAACGCCCGGAGGAGGCTGGCACTGGGCACGCCCAGAAACCCCAGGAGTCCCCAGGGGTTGTGCAGGACCAGGAGGAAGGGACGTGCCCACAGCTCTGCTGACTCAGGCAGGTCCCCACGCCCCATCACAACCCGGACTCCCACTAGTCCTGGCTGTTATCTCTGGGAATAACGGTGGGGCCCCTGAGCACTATTTGAGAGCCCCCTCCCCCCCAAAGAGTATCAAACAGTCTGAGGTCCTACAGATGTGACTTTATGTTCAAACAACCCCACCCACACACACACCCGGTTTTAATTTAAGTGCTGGTAACACCAAGTCACACCCCTAGGGCATCCCCAGAGAATGGAAGGAACTGACGTTTCCCTTGCAGGGGGATGGGGGCTCCCAGCAGGGCTCAGGAGGGGCAGGGACCCTTCCTGGGAAAACATCCCATCAACGGAAAGTGACGTGTGAGGGAAACGTTGGCTTCCTGGGTCCCCCACGGCGAGGCCTTACCTGAGAGGTCCTCGGGGAAGCCGGCCTTGTGGCTGGACACCAGGTGATTCAGCATCCACTGAGGGCGGGCCGGCTCTCGCACCTTCTCCAGGTGGGCCCTGCCGACGGTGATGGTGCAGGGGGAGTTGGCGTGGCCAGTGCTGAAATGGTCAGGGATGCTGCCCACCGGCTTCTGCAAGGACACGGAAGTGAAGCTCTGGCCCCTCACCCTCCCCACTGCCCGGCCCCCTTCTCAGCCGCGGGAGGCCTTGCCCACCTTCGGGGTGTTCTGGATTCTTCTCTGCTTTCTCGGTGGCTGCCGGATGGGCGCGTGCTTCGCCGTCCTGGTCTGCGTCTTCTTGGCGCCAAGCCGCACCACGTCTGCCCATGACCTGGCCACTGGCACGAGGAAAACACCACACATGGAGCCGCCGGCCCTGCCCGGGCTGTCCCGCTGCTCCTTCCGCAGTGCTCACTCACTCACCCATGAGGTTGGCCTCGGACGCGCCGCTCCTCCTCTTGGAGTGGATCATCTGGAGGATGCCCTGTCGGCTGCGCCCAAGGGATACTCTCCGAGGAGGCTGCTGGCCGCTCCGCCGTGAGGTCCGCTTGGGCGTGTCCACCACCGGGACAGGCTGCCTGGGACTGTCAGCGGCTTCCTGGCGCGGGTCTGAAGGGGGCACGCCTTGTGCTGGGCTCTGTGGCCGCCCCTGCGGGGAAGAGGCGAGCATCAGAGAAGCCTGCGGGCGCCGTGGACCGGGCCAAGGGCGGCGTCTGCCCCGCAAGCCTCAGGTCTCAGGTTGGATCCCCGGCACTGGCTCATGTGTGCTAAGCAGAGCCCACTGTGCAGGCCGGGAGGGCCGGGTGCCACCAAGTGTGTGACCCGGGCCAGTACCCCCACGAAAAGCGGGTCAGAACCAGTTAGAGTTCAGCCCGAGCCAAGAGCACGCGGCCTCCTTGTCCGTTGCCAATGGGATGGAAGGAGAGGACCAAGGTCAGCCGCCGTCCGCACAACCCCTCGCTCCCACCCCTCTTGGAGAAGAAAGGGAAGAAAAGCCACAGGAATCCTCCCCGGGGCTTTCCACGGGAAGACCGGGCCGGCCAGGCTGGCCAGTTGCGGGGAGAGGGCCCACGGGGCTGGAGGCCTGAGGGGGCAGAGGGCACCGCCCGTCTCTGGTCAGGGAGGGGCCAGGGCCTTCCTGGCGGGGGGTCCCAAGGGTCTGAGGCTCGGGGCAGGCGCCTCACCTTGATGATGGTCTTCAGCACGCTGGGCGCCAGCGAGCGGCATCTCCGTGGCGTCTCTCCTCTCTTCAGGGGCGTGTTGGGGGGCAAGTTCTCGTCAAATAGCTCCGGTCTGAGGCGGCCCCCGAAGGACACCCGCCTGCGCTTCCCCTGCTCGCCTGCTGCCCACTCTGCGGGAAGAAGGACGGGGGTCAAGGCCTGCTGCCACAACCCGGAGTCCCGTCTGCCTCAGAGAGAACCACCCACGTGGGCACAGCGCGGGCAGTGTCCCCCACAGGGCGCCTGGCTGCACCCTCGGGCCTTCCTGGGGGGCCCTTCTTAGTGAAACCTGTGCAGGACAGTGCATAGGGGCTGGTGGAGGGGGAGGGATGACCCCTAGACTCCAGGGAGGTTGTCAGACCAGGTGGGCTCCGACTGGGAGCCACAGACACCAAATGGCCGCAACGCCCATCCCTCCTGCCCCTTCCCACGGTCATTTGTAAGGAAATGCCAAAAGCAAGCCGGACACACGACAGCACCGAAGTGCACGCACCCCAGTTCTGCCAGGCACCATGGCCCCCAGTGCCGGAGCCCCCCGAGGCCTGTCCAGCCGAGATTTCCTGGGAGGCCCCTGGACGAATCAAAAAATAATTTTTTTCTTTTTTGCTTTTTGGGTCACACCCAGCGACACACAGGGGTTACTCCTGGCTCTGCACTCAGGAATTCCTTCTGGCGGTGCTCTGGGGACCCTATGGGATGCTGGGAATTGAACCCGGGTCAGCCACGTGCAAGGCAAATGCCCTACCTGCTGTGCTATCTCTCCAGCCCCTAAAAAATGAAATTTTAAAAGAAACTGCTGTCCGAGACCATGCGAGCTGGCTGGCGTCTGAGCGCCAGCACTGGCAGAAGCAGCAACGCGGCTGTGCCTGGGCCTGGCACGGGGGCATTGGGATCCAGCCCGAGCACCTCGCAAAAAGCAGCAGCTTCAAAGGAAGAGGGAGTTGGGGCAACCCTGCCCTGTGGGTTTGCCTCACATGCGGCAGACCAGCGTTGGTTCCCTGCACCCCATTTGATCCCCTGAGACAGCCAGGAGTGGCCCCAAACCCCCAAGCAAACAAAACCCCACAAGACACAAAATTAAGAAAAGGAAAAGAAAAAAGGGGGGGGGGGGGCTGGAGCAATAGCACAGCGGGGAGGGCATTTGCCTTGCACACGGCCGACCCGGGTTCGACTCCCAGAATCCCATAAGGATTCCCCAAGCACCACCAGGAGTCATTCCTGAGTGCATGAGCCAGGAGTAACCCCTGTGCATCGCCGGATGTGACCCAAAAAGAAAAAAAAAAAATGGAAAAGAAAAGCTTAGGTCAACACAGCTTTTTTTTTTTTCCTTTTTGGGTCACATCCAGCAATGCACAGGGGTTACTCCTGGTTCATGCACTCAGGAATCACTCCTGGCCATGCTCCGGGGACCCTATGGGATGCTGGGAATCGAACTCGGGTTGGGCCGTGTGCAAGGCAAATGCCCTCCCCGCTGTACTATCACTCCAGCCCCAGGTCAACACAGCTCTTGTACCTGCTGCCCCCCGCCAAGCTCCTGGGTCTGGAGGCGCAAGATCCCCAGGGGTCCTGGCTGGCCTGGGAGGCTGACCCAGAAGCAGTTGCTTGCTCAAAATCCCAGGAAAGGCCAGCGTGCCATAGAAGCGTTTTCCGTTGGGTTCTACTGCACACACATGTGAGGAGACGCCACCCCCAGGGGTCCCCACAAATCCTGGCTGCATCCCACCACCACATCTGAGGAGAGAGGCCCAGTGTGACACTTACTAGCGGGGTCTTTGCAGCTGCCCACGTGGGTGGAGCCCAGGCCAGGGGAGCCAGGGCCGGCGTGCCCCGCTGCTTTCTCGGCCCGGGGGACCTGCGGGGTCTCACCCAGGCCCTGCATGAGCAGGGGGGCCAGGACGGAGGGGCTCTGCGCCCCGCTGGAGCTCAGCCTCCTCTGCTTCTTGGGCAGGGGCTTCTCTGGCGTGTCCCCGGGAACACAGGCGCCTTCCACCTTCGTGGGGGTCTGACTTTTCCTCGGGAGCTTCTGTGGCCCGGGACTCGGAGACCCCATTCCGGCGTCAGCTCCCAGGGCCTCGCTGCGCCGCCGTTTCCGGGAGGAAGGTCGCGGGGACGGGGCCGGCTGCCCTGGGCTCTTGGCCACGGGTGTTCCTGGGCGAGGACAGCTCACAGGGTGGGCCCCGGGTCCCTGCCGCTCCTTTGGGGTGTGCCCCTGTTCTGCGGGCGCGGGGACAGCCTGCCGCTGGGAGCCCCCGGTCGATTTCCTCCTGGGCCCTCCCGAGCCCGGGGCAGGGGGCTGGCCCTGGGGCCCGAGGGAGGCCGACCTCCCCCGAGGGGCCCCGGGGACATTCTCCTTCTCGGCCCGGCCACCCAGCTCCTCTTTCATCGACTCGTAAAGCTGCTGAAACGGAGAGAGGCTCGTGCGGCCCTTCTCGGGTCTCGGGGTCCCGGGGGGCCTGCCCCGCTCCCCGGCCAGCTCCGGGGTTCTCCTGCCGGCGTGGCTCTCCAGGCTCCTGCGGGCACCTCCGAGGCTCTTCGCACGCACCCCGGAGCGCCCCGGAACCTTCTCTTCAAGGACTTCGGAATCTGGAACTTCCCCATCTGGGCAGCGAGTCAGGAAAGAACTGGTCTCAGTTCAGGGGCCTCTCGTGACTCGCCTGGGCAGCACCCACATGGGAGTGGACGCCGCCGCCCGGGACAGGATTCGTGGGAGCCCCACGCTCCATCCCAGCCACCGCCTGGACACCCCAGCACGCTGAGGGGAACCTCCCCTCCACCCCGCAAAAGCAAAAAGTACTTCTGGTGGCTTTGTGGCCGAGTGTCCTCGAGGCCTAAGGCGCACAGGACAGCAGCGTTGTGACTCCAGTGCTCAGAGCCCCGTGGACCACGACAGTCTCCCCGGCTCAAGGCCACGGATAGACACGCAGGGCAGAGTCAGGCCGACAGCCAAACCGGACCACACATGAGGGCCCCCCCCCGCCCCCCGCAGCCCTGCCAGTCTTTTTGAGGCACATTCCTGTCTGCCCACAGCAGTCCCGACTTCCAGAATGTTCCCAACACTTGGTTCTCATGCCCCTTCCTGCCAGGAAGCCTCTCAGCGCCAGGCCCCAGCACAAAACCAAACACACTCACCGTGGTCCGAGGAGAAGCCGGACACAGAAAGTGGACGCAGAGACTCCTGGGGACAGAGAAGCACGCGGTGTAGACGGCTCAGAGGCCGGGGGCAGGAGAGTACAGCAGGCAGGAGCTCTCCTCGCACGAGGCCACACCGGGTTAGAGCCCCTGCACCCCAGAGGGACCCCAAGCCTGTCAGGAGTAAGTCCTGAGTGCAGAGCCAGGGGTAAGCCCTGAGCACAGCCGGGTGTGGCCCCCAAACCAATAATAAGAGGGGCTGGAGCGATAGCACAGCGGGTAGGGCGTTTGCCTTACAAGCGGCCGACATGGCCGACCCGAGTTCGATTCCTCCGCCCCTCTCGGAGAGCCTGGCAAGCTACCGAGAGTACCTCGCCCGCACGGCCAAGCCTGGCAAGCTCCCGTGACGTGGTCGATATGCCAAACACAGTAACAAGTCTCATGATTGAGATGTTACTGGGCCCGCTCGAGCAAATTGATGAACAATAACGGGAGGACAGTGACGGTGACAATAATAATAATTTCATCACCAGCACCATCCTCATCAGTAAGGGGCAGATTCCTCCCCGCACCTAAGTTCAGCTTCTGTGGCTCTCGGCTCATTCCCCTCTGCCGCGACCCCCGTCCATCCTCGCAGGGGAAACCGCCCCCAGCACCCTCCGTCCCCCGCACCTGTGAGTGTCTCCGTCCCACACTCGCGGCTGGTCTGTCCCCATCCTGGTGACTCTGGTGACTGGCGTCTTCATACCTGGCACACAGAGCAACGGGGGTACGTGGGATGCGGGTGACAGTGAGGGTCGCCCCCTTAGGACCCACTGAGTGCCGGGGACTGGGCTGGCCAGAGGGAGCAGTTCCTGGCCCGAGCCGAGCCTTCTCGGGGTCTGACAGCTGGGGGGGGCCCACCCCGAACCACTGAGAGTCACGGTGCAAGAGCTGTACCTGCACTCTGGGACAGCACAGCCTGCCTGCTCCACACAGGGCAGGCGCACTCAGACACACAGACACAGACACACACACACACACACGAAGGACAGTCTTTCTCTCACACACACAGGAAGCACAGTCACACACAGGAAAGACAGTCCCAAACACAGACAGGAAGCAGTCATACAGGAAGGACAGTCTCTCTCTGTCTCTCACACACACACACACACACACACACACACACACAGGAAAGACAGTCCCACACATACACACACACAGGAAGCACAGTCACACACCGGAAGGACAGTCTCTCTCTCTCTCTCTCTCTCTCTCTCTCTCTCTCATACACACACACAGGAATGAGTCTTTCTCACACACACAGACAGGAAGCAGTCATACAGGAAGGACAGTCTCTCTCTCACACTCATACACACACACACAAACACACAAGAAGAACAGTCACACACAGCAAGGACAGTCACACACACTCTCTCACACACATATGCAGGAAAGTCTCTGTCTCACACACACACACACACACATGAACAGTCTCACACACACACACACACACAGACAGGAAGCACAGTCTCACATACAGACAGGAAGCAGTCATATAGGAAGGACAGTCTCTCTCACACTCACATACACACACAGGAAGGACAGTCACACACACAGGAAGAACAATAACACACACAGCAAGGACAGTCACACACACAAGGACAGTTACACACACTCTCTCTCTCTCTCACACACATATGCAGGAAAGTGTCTCTGTCTCTCTCTCTCTCTTACACACACACACACACACACACACACACACACACACACGTCCCAGCGGGTCTGCATGCCACAGGTGGAGCGTGACTGCTTCAGGCGGGAGGCGTGGGATCTGAACCCGGAGGCGCCTGGGGAAGGGGAGATGCAGCCAGCCCCCCGGGAGAGTCCTGCAGGAGTTCGCGCCGGACCCTCCTCCCGTTTCCTGCTCTCTGCCGAGGTGTTCGCCACCCCCTAACACCTGCGCTGGGCATCTCCTTCCGGAGAAACGGTTCTGGTCTCCTCCCCACTCCAGACGCTTCTTACCCAGTGGCCTCGGCTTGGCCACGAAGGCCGGGGGACCAAGAGCATCTGACGGTCCCAGGGTCGACCGACCCAAACACCAGCTGCCCGACAACAGCGCACTCACAGGGCCAGAGGGATGAGAGTGCAGCGGTGGGCGCTGGCCTCGCACACAGCCAACCCAGGTTCAACATCTGACACCCCCTATGATCCCGAGTCCCACCAGGGGTGACCCCTGAGCACCGCAGCGTGTGGACCCCAAAGAAAAACAAAGCAGTGGGCTTGGAGCTGCTGTGAAGAGAACTCAGCCTCCCGGGTCAGCCGCTGGGAGGGAGGGGGCAGGAAAAGTCACAGCTGCGCCAAGGAAGCAGTGCGTCACTGAAGGTCCAGAACATTCCAGAACACCAGTGAGGGCAGCATCTGCTCCTAGATCCTAGCACCAGGCTCACTCTGAAACAGGGAAACCAGACACGGGACAAAAAGGAAAATCATAATCCCGCACGTATGACCTCAACAGCTGGGTCAGGAGGGAGCGACCAGCAGACGTGTAGTGCCTGGAACATTCCGGCCTCCTCCAACAAGTGCCGCCAGCACCCCCTCCTGGCCGGACCTGGTAGTGACAGTGTCACGTCCAGGTTGGCCTCACATCCCTAAGTCCTCAAGCCGGAGAAGGAACAAGAGATGGGCCTGGGTCTGCCCGGAGCACGTGGGTCTGCACAAACCTCCTCATGCAGAAGTAGCAGAGAAAGGCAGCACGGGGTCCGTCTCTGGCTCCGGGGACGCACGTGTCAGCCAAGGCCGTGGTCTGAGACACGTGCCCCGTTCCCAGAAGCTGCAAGCCGGCCCCGGGTTCTGGGGTGTATGGGGTGGGGGCTGCACCCTTCTGGACAGCTTCTCGGCTGCATCAAGGGCTTCCCTGTCCTCTGGGGGATGGGCTAAGGGCCTCTGTGATCTATTTTTTTTTAATTGATTGATTGATTGATTGATTTATATTTTTACTTTTCGGATCACACCCAGTGACGCTCAGGGGTTACTCCTGGCTCTGCGCTCAAGAATTACTCCTAGAGGTGCTCAGGGGACCATATGGGATGCTGGGAATCGAACTCGGGTTGGCCGCATGCAAGGCAAACACCCTCCCCGCTGTGCTATCGCTCCAGATCCTGGCATCTGTGATCTTGTCTTCTTCTAAAGTCACGGGTCAAACGGGGCAGGGTCCTTGGGGACCTACGTTTGGCAGAATCGCCTCTCGCAAGTCCCTGTCTCCAGACAACAGTCCAGTCGGGGGGGGACGCATGGTTGGGGGCTTTTCCATCCAGAGCCCAGGCTCCTCCCGAGAGTGGCCTGATCCACGGCCTCTGAGCAGACCCAGTCAGCACCAGACCCAGTTGCCCCGCCAGCCCAGGCCATGTCAGGCCACACGGCGCCCCTCGGCACCGGCCACCAGCTGGGTGGGTTCTGAGGCATTGATGGGAAGAGTTGGGGGAAAGCGGGAGTGGCCCCTTCCCGTGGGCCAGGCCAGGCGTCACCTACCTGAAAGAACGATCAACAATCGTGATCACATCTCCGTGCTGCAGGCGGACAGGCTGGGCAATGGCCCTGCCGTTGAGTTGTGTTGGGTTCGAGGAACTGAAATTAATCAGGGTGGCCTGCGGGTGGACCAAGGGCCACAGTCAGTCATGGAGGACAGAGACCGGGGCAGGAAGGTCTCTAGTCAGAGAAGTGAGCGACTCACCTCCTTCTGGTGGATTTCGATTTTGCAATGTTGTTTGGACACCACGGGAAGCTGGATGCGGATGTCACACTCGATGTCCCTTCGTTCAAGAGAATTCCACATGTTTAGGTCTCAGCAAGGCAGAATCATTCCATCAATGTTTCAGCATAAAGACTTGGCGTGCGCTCGGCTCGCAAGTGTTGACGACGGAAAAGAAACCGCAAACCCCAGCACTTACTTAAATGAGGACCGTGTTTCGCAAAAGATTTCTACAATCGTAGAAGCTAGTGTTTTAAATCTTTAAAAGTGTTTAAAAATCACAATAAAAACACCAAGAGGCCTTTCATGAAAACGCCTGTGCTCACGAAACACAAGGGAGGAAGTCCTCTATAACCGTTGGAAACAACAATTTTTTTTATTCTGTTTTTCTTTCAAAACTTTGAATTGAGTTGCACTTTATACTCCAGTAAAGGTCTCCTCCCTACGGTACCAGAGTCAGCACCTCTCCGCCTCGGTTTCTCCAGATACAGAGAAGGGGGTCACATGAGCACCCATGTGATGGGGTTGCATGATTCACCCCCACAGAGAGAGAGAGAGAGAGAGAGAGAGAGAGCGCGCCACACTGAGTGGAAACACACACAGAGCCATAAGCAGCAGAAACACATGTACACAGCCATACGTGGCAGAAACAGAGACAGGAGCAGTAGAAACACACACACACACACACACACACACATACACAGAGCCATGAGCGGCAGAAACATACATGCACACTGCCACACATGGCAGAAACAGACAGGAGCAGTAGAAACACACACACACACAGAGCCACACCACTGCATACAGCACCACAGTCAGTGGAAACACACACACACACACACAGAGCCATGAGCAGCGAAAACGTACATGCACACTGCCCCACATGGCAGAAACAGAGACAGGAGCAGTAGAAACACACACACACACACACACACACACACAAACACACACACACACACACACACACACACAGAGCCAGGCGCAGCAGAAACACCCACATACACAGCCACGCATGGCGGAAGCACACACACACCACCACACATGACAAAAATCACACACACACACAGCCACGCTGGACATTCGTCACAACTCACAGCGCGATGACGGTCACAAGCGCCAACCAACCACCAACACGTGGGCAGTGCCACAGGGCTGTCACTGCCACCTGCCCTGAGGGCGGCCCCCACCAGGGCGAGCGGACTCCTCTCTCTGCCTCAGGCCGCCCAAAGCAGGGCGGCCTCCACTGCCTTGCCCGGGAAGTTCCCGCAGCCCCTCGCACACAGCAGGTGGGGCCGGCTCCCCTGCACCCCTGCACAAGCGCCTCCGCTTAAGAACCTCTGTGGCTGTGGCTGAGACTGTCTGGGTGGGCGCAGCTGGAGTCCAGCGAGGAGTCTAGACCCACGCGGGCTTCCAGGAGCCCTGCCCGCCGCCACGGCGCCCACCCGGGGCTCGCCGTGTTCCCTTCCCACAGGGAACAGTTCCTTCACTCGGGGAGCAGCAGCTGTTGTGGTCTGAACCCCCAACCCGGGGGCCACCCAGGGCAAACACCATCAGCCCGGAGGAGCACGAGGCGACCGTCCTCGGGAGACAGGAGCCCAAGCCCTACCCGAAAACCAGCCTCGAAGCCGGACTTGCAGGAGGCGGAAGATAAGAGAGCACAGTCAGTGGAGTCCCTCGGAGAGTGCAGGAGTGAGGGGGGAGTAAGGGTGAGGGTCCGAGAGCAGGAGAGAGAACAGGAAGAAGGCCTTGCTGCTGCAGGGGGCCTGGGTTGGATCCCCTGTGAGTTTCCCCAGGAGTGATCCTGAGCACAGAACCAGAAGCCCGGGGTCCCGCCGGGTGCGGCCGAGCACCCCAGCCTCCCCGGAGCACCCCAGCCTCCCCGGAGCACCCCAGCCTCCCCGGAGCACCCCAGCCTCCCCGGAGCACCCCAGCCTCCCCCGGAGCACCCCAGCCTCCCCGGAGCACCCCAGCCTCCCCCGGAGCACCCCAGCCTCCCTGGAGCACCCCAGCCTCCCCCGAGCACCCCAGCTTCCCCCGAGCACCCTAGCTTCCCCCGAGCACCCCAGCCTCCGCAACTGCTTTAATAAGCGAAAATAAAAGCTGGCCCAGGCCCCTCATCAGCCTGGCCCACCCAGGTGGCACCTCCAGCTGCAGGCAACGAGGAGGGAAAGTGCTCCGGAGCCAGCAGGAGGCTTGCTGGACCCCCGCCTGCGAGTGTCCAAGGCCTGCGAGTGTCCAAGGCCTCCTCGGCCTCTGCGGCGAGGGGCCAGGCCTGACAGTCAGCCGCACCATCGTGTCACCAAGTCCAGTGTCTCCTTCCAGCCCGCTCCTTCCTCTGATTGAGGAAAGCCCCCCACCCCCGCCCCCTGACTCTTAGCTCTCCAGGCCGGTCCACGCGCGCTCCCACCCGCACGGTCCACCAGGTTGGCGGGGCTCTGCACGCACCTTCCGAACAGGCAGCTGCTGAGGGTCAGCGGGAAGTGGGCTCCGTCCAGCCCGCTCCTTCTGATGGTCACCAGCCGCCCCGAGGGTCCCATCGCCAAGCCAGACCGGTGCAGACCCCGGCGGGGTCAGGGTCGGGGGTCCAAAGCGCGCGCGCGCGCGTCTCTCCTCCGCGGGCACAAGCCCCTGGGGACCCGGACAGTCAGTGGGGGGCGCCGGGGAGGGGTCAGCGGGCCGGGGTCCCGCGCGTCCCGCCGCGCTGCCCCCCGGTCGCGTCCACCCGGCCCACTCGGGGTCCGTCGCGGCCAGTCCAGCGCCCCGGGGGTCGCCCCGCCCCGGGCCCGGCTCACCTGGACGCGTGGCCCGCTCCTCCGCCCGGCGTCCCCCGAAGGTCCAGGTCGGGCTGGCGCCCACCCCCGCGGCCCTCCCGCCGGCCCGACCCACCTGCGCCGCCCCCGCGGCCCCGCTCCCGCCCGTCGGCTGCCCAGTGGCCGGCTGGACCCGGCCCCGCTGCGCCCCGACCCCGGCGTTGGCCGCGCGCGCGCACAGCCCGTCCCGCGTCCGCCCGATTCAAATGAAAGCGGCGATTCAAACTTGGCGCTCAGCGCGCCGATTGGCCGGGCCGGCGGCGAGCGGGCCAATGGGAGCGCGCGGACGGGGAGGGCGGGGCGAGCGGGCCAATGGGAGCGCGCGGACGGGGAGGGCGGGGCGAGAGGGCGGGGCTTGGGGCGGGGCGGGGCGGGGCTGGCGCGCGGGGCGGAGCGCGCGGGCTCCGGGCTGCGATCCGGGCTGGGGGCGCGGGGTCCTGGCCCGCCCGGTGGTCGCGGCACAGGGGCAGCGCGGGCAGAGCCCCGGGCCCGGCTTCCTGGAGGCGCAGGCGAGCTGCGCGCCCTGCAGCTCCTTGCTGGGGGGAGTGGAGGGGGGTCTGACGACCCCGTCCGCGGCGCTTGCAGTGAACTACTTAATTTCTTGTGTTTTTTTTTTTTTTCCCCCCGGTTACACATAAAACCGAAACGCGGACAGGAACAGGGTGCAAAGACTAAGGCTCCTGGCTGGCAAGCCCTGGCGAAAGGCTCCCCTTCTGCTTTCACTTTCTTTTTTTCTGATTAGCCTCAGAAACCAGAGTGTAACCTGGGATCCCTGCCACACTTCACAATGCTTTCCAATTAGGGAAAAAAAAAACAGCTTTTTTAGACTTAAAAAAGATCCAACACTGTTACAGAATAGGTGAATTCGAAAATAACTGACTCAGGACTTTGCCTGTGGAGGGGGAGGTCCCCTTTGTGGGCGAGAACGGGTTTTTGTCTGTTTTTATTTGGGGAGGGGTCACACCAGCTCGCAGCTACTCCTGGCTCTGTGCTCAGGGATCACTCCTGTCGGTTCTGGGGCCACCGTCTGCAGCGCTGGGAGTTGCACCCAGGTCAGCCGTGCACCAGGCAGGTGCCCTGCGTGCCGTACTCTCCCTCCAACCCAGGAGGGGAGAAGGTTTTGTTGCCTGAGTGCTCAGAGCTCTGAGTGCTCTCCTGCTTCCTGCAACCCCCTCAGTCCAGCACACACAGAAGCTGGCTTTTCTGATCAAGAACTGTGTTTGTGGTGGGACCCCCCCCAAACCCCCAGGGTGTCTCCGAGTTGCTTCCGGAGGATTCCGGAGACCACAGCATGCGCTCTGGGCCCTCTCTGGTGCAGCTTGCCAAGGCCCGCAGAGGTGAGAGAACAGCTGGTTTCCGGGAGAGGCAGAGAGAGTCGCAAAAATAGAAACAGGAGTGGAACTCCCCGCCCGTGTGCAGCTGGCTTCGGAACCCGCTTTAGAAACCCAAGCATCTTTGCCAGCATTCAGGTTTCCCAGGCCTTAAGGGACCACACGCGGTGGTACCGGGGATTTGACAGAGCCTGGAGCAAGGCAAGGGGCCGGTCTTTCAGACTGCCTCTCCAGCCCCCTCTCCATGATGGTGAAGAACCCTGAGCCCAGAGTCTGGAAACTGAGAGAGATTCCCTGGCAGGGAGAGGGGACAGCCAGGAAGGGACCGACACAACAGGGAGTTTCCGAGCTGGTTCACTCGCCCGGGGCCCCCTCCCCTCCCACGCTCACTCCCAAGGGAAGCTTAAAGCCTGGGCAGAGGCAGAAGGCCTCTCAGTGCAGAGCTGCTGCTTGTTATGCGGGAGATCTGGGTGTGTGTGTGTGTGTGTGTGTGTGTGTGTGGGCGAGGGGGATGTTGACTCCAGCAAGGAGGTGCTGGGATCCTGGCAGTCCGCCCGGCAGACATCAACGCCCAGACACCAGAACAGTGAGAAAAGCAGAGGATGTGGCCGTGAGTGGCCTTGGACCCGGGGTGCCCTCCTCTGCCAGCTTTGGCCTTTCTGGGGATTCTTGAGCGGGTCAGGTAGGCTCCATCCTTTGACAGCTGGTTAGGGGACGGGTATGGGGGGTCTGCACTGTCCTCTTCTTTGGGGTGGGCAGACTGAAGGAGACCTGGCTTAGGAGCCGGACCAGAGCCCCGTAGACCCAGGCAACAGCAGCAACTGTCCTGGGAGCAGGGGACCCGGGTCTCGGGGAACCACCCAGCTCCTTCCTGCACAAGCTCCTGCCTCAAACAGGCAACCTGCCAGTCACTCCAGCTTGGTTGCCTGGGGAACCCCTGTCTGAGGAGTCACCCCGGAATGTCCTTCAAGTCCCTCCATGATGAGAGGATGCCTTTCAAGGCGCTCCACGCCTCTGACCAGTCACCTCTGAAAGGGCTCCGCTGTTTGCAACCTGTCACTGTCACTGTCATCCCATGGCTCATCGATTTGCTTGAGCAGGCGCCAGTAACATCTCCATTTGTCCCAGCCCTGAGATTTTAGCAGCCTGTCCTTACTCATCCTTCCCAACCGTGCCTTATTGGAGGCTCCTTCAGGGTCAGGGGAATGAGACCCATTATTGTTACTGTTTTTGGCACATCGAATACGCCACGGGGAGCTTGCCAGGCCCTGCCGTGCAGGCGGGATACCCTTGGTAGCTTGCCGGGCTCTCCGAGAGGGATGGAGAATGTATATAAAGCAATACCAGCAATATGTTAAAACCAAACACACGTGTGCTGCTTGAGGTACATCAGTGGGCTAGAGAATAAGGGGCCTCGCGGCCGGCCACGCGCTTCCGGGAGCTTTGTTTTATAGTCTGTGGATCTTAGCCGTTGATGGGATCCCATGGCACTGGGGGCGGTTTGTGGGTGTGACTGCCCAGCTACTGGAAAACGGGGGATCTGGGGGGAGGAGGCCCAGTCCTGATCCGAGCGGGCTTGGAGATCTCAGCTCCGGGTCTCGCATACCTGGGTTCCTCTGCTGGTTCCTTCATGCATGCGCCGTCATGCGTGAGGCTCGTCCGAGCGTGTGGAGAGTGGCCTTGAGCCTGGCTGTGGGTGGGTTCTGAAGGTTATCAGCTGTCGGGGTTCTGCTTGGGGCGGGGAGGGAAACTCAACCCGCCCCCCTCTGAGGGACCCTGGTGAGGACAGCCTGGCATGGGGGCAGGAGACTCTGTGTTGCTCTCTCTTCCAGGAACTGAGTCCCCATGAATGTCATGTCCGGTTCCTCACATGGTGTCCGGATGCCGGAGTGGACTGGCCAGGGCAGAGGGGTCCCAGTGAGACGTCCCGGCACCCACCACCCACAAGTGGGGTCCAGCTAGGCAGTCAGCAGGGCAGCCCCAGAAGAGCCAGGGCAGTCACTGGGAGTTCACAGCCTCGATAGAGCCCTGGGGCAGGGAGCCAGCGGGGTGCAGGTCGGGGTCCTGGTCTCCAGCTCCTGGGCCCCGAGTCTGAATAGCCACCCCCCCCCAGTCATGGGACACAGTGATCTTAACGTGGGGGTCAGAGATGGAAGGGAGCAGGGCGGGGCAGTGTCCTGCAGTACTGTAGGACCCTCGCGAGCGAGTCTGTCCTCTGGGACTCTGCTGAGACCCCCCTAGCTCCCTGCCATGTCCAGTGCTGGTCTGCCCAGGGCCTGCCGGTCACCACACGCCTGCTGAATGTGGGTCAGTCTCGGGGCTCACGCCCAGAGAGGCCCCACAACCCGCCTCTGCGGAGCCTCAGAGGAGGGTCCCAGCCGTCCCTGGCACACCACAGGGCAGTCACCCTGCTTGAGGGCCGCCCTCCCCTGAGCCTTCCTGGGCACCCACTGCCTGGTGTGGGGTCAGAGCCTCCACCAGCTCAGACCTTTCCAGCACCCAGGCGGGAAGCTGAGGGGCAGAGCAGACCCCACACTCCTGCTGGGAACCCCCCTGTGTCCCTGAAGGACACTGGGCCACCCCCAGCAGGGGGTTCAGGCTCCAGCCCCGCCCACTCCTGGGCACAGTCCAACACGGCTTCCTCCTTCTGACAGGGACACCCAGGGGGTGGGGCGCAGGTGAGGCCCCTTCTCCTGGGGGCGGGGCATAGGTGAGACCCCTTCCTCCAGGGGGCAGGAGAAGGCAAGGCCCCTCCCCCAGGGGGGCAGGGTGATGGATAGGACCCACCCTCCAAGGGGCGGGGAGAAACCAAAGCCCCTCCCTCTGGGAGGCTGGGAGATGGTTAGGCCCCTCCCTCTCGGGGGCGGGACACAGGCGAAGCCCCTCCCTTTCCCTCAAGGGGCGTGGCCAGAAAACCAGCACCTTCTCCTAGAACCACAGTTAAGAACCAGCCTGGGCATTGCAAACTGGGACCGTGGCATCCCTTATCTTTGCTCCTGGGATCCCTGGCATCCCTTATTCTTTTTTTTTTTTAATTGAATCACCGTGAGAACAGTTACAAAGCTTTCAGGTTTAAGTCTCGGTCACACAATGATCAAAACACCCATCCCTTGACCAGTGCACGTGTTCCACCACCAAGAACCCCAGTGTACCCCCATCCCTCCCTTCCGTCTGCCTGTGGGGCAGGTGATTTTCACTTGACTCTCTCTTTACTTCGATGACATTCAATTTTTCGACAGAAGACCCACTATGATTATTTAGAATTTCCCCCCCAACAATCAGACCTGCCAAAAAGGCATCATGAGATAATTTGTTTTCTATTGCTGATCATGAAGAGCGTATGATGTCGCGTGGCCGTGCGATTTGGATTTCTAGTATTTTAGTAATTAAGTCCAG